TAACCATTTTTATTTATCACTCCGTTTGTATAGAGGCGCGAAATCACATTCCAATGGAATTCTAAGCTACGATTATATCATAACCATACCCTAGTTGAAGAGATTCTCGCTTCAATATTATTGGGCCCGATTCGTTCTAACAAAAAATAAACATGGCGCAATTGGTCTAACTCAGTGCTTCCCAAAGTGGTAAAAATCGATCCCTAGGGGTCTATGAACGTCAGCGAAAAAAAATTTGACGTCCACAATAGTGGATCTCAACACATACAATGATAGTACCTATTTACTTACATCATACTATCTTTTAAATAAAACACTAACGATTTAAAATGCGATATATTAGTTAAACTTTTTTAAAAATGATTTTTAACTTCGGCCCGACGTTTGGGATGATTTGCAGCAGCTGTGGTCACGGGGAGACTGAAAATCAGTTTTAAATAAGTTTAACAAATATATCGCGTTTAAAACTTAAATTGTTTTATTTAAATGTGTACTACTCGCGTAAACTATAGATAGGGCTACTATGTTTTTCTTTTTTGCGGGCGTTATCGGTCGATGCCAATCCGTGTCAACGTTATATTTATGCAAAGACTAATAATAATACTTCACGCGAGTAGTACTCATTTAAATAAAACACTTTTAACGGTTTAACGCGAAATAAATAAATGAACTTATGTTTATTTTATTTTAACTAAACCCCGACGTTTCGGATGCTCTGCAGCAGCCGTGGTCAAGGGGCGGCTAGTATTACGCGTTTTTAACCGTTAAAATTGTTTTATTTTAATGTGTACTACTCGCGTAAACTACAGATAATGCTCATTTAAAATTACTTGTTTTAGAATTACCGTTGTAGAATTGTTAACTTATACTTATTCTACACGTCAATATAACTTTATTGTCTCATATAATCTGATGTCCATATATGTCTCATATAAAACTCAGGAATTAGTGCAGAATAGGCTGTTAACGTCGAAATCAATTTATTGGTGGTCTTTTTGTGGCTTTGTTTTGGTTTTAAAAACAGCAAAAGCTTCCCTTAATCTACTGTTGAAAACTAAAGCTAGAAAAATATCCGTGCAGTCATTTCGGAGATTAGCGTACATAGGTACTGTACTGTGTGAGGGTACAGTCACAAAGAAAATCTAAATAAATATATACATATAAATACTGTGTATAGTTTACGCGAGTAGTACACATTTAAATAAAACACTTTAACGGTTTAACGCGATATATTAGTTAAACTTATTTGAAAATGATTTTCAACTTCGGCCCGACGTTTCGGATGCTTTGCAGCAGCCGTGGTCACGGGGAGACTGACTGTTGACTTGTGACTGACATATAATCATCATTAGCATCATGTTTTTTTTAAGATAATTTAAATTATATTAAAAGAATAGGTCAGCAACGATTTTGTTTAGATACTATAGAATGTCGATTGAATCCCATGTTTGTCTGTATCATTAAAAAAATGTTTAATCACGTTACGATTTCAGTCGAGGGATTACCAAATTCACAAAGACAAAGTAGGTCGACATCAGATCTCATTTAGATGTTATGGTTGGCTTATTTCACACCAGCAAGTAAACTATGCACAAAATCAGGCAGGCAGGACTTGAACCGAGTTGGACTCAGTAACTCAATGGTTAGAGCAACAGCACGGAACGCTGACGATGCCGGTTCAAGGCCTGCTAAGTCGAAATTTTTTCAATTTATTTTCAATTTTTAATGTATATAGTGCCATTTTGTACATGTAAAAAATATTAAAGTTTTTAAACTATGCTTGTCTGTCCGTCTCTATCATAAATTGTGCCAGTACCTCACATATAAAATCGTCGAACGTTCGGCATTTTCGCGGTATAATAAATCATCTTGGCGCGTCATTTCTGACGGGGGCTGTATACAAGCATTTGGGGACAAAGGGGCCTCAACAAAGGCTCAGTTATAACACCTATTCAACGCCTGACAACTGTGGCAAATGTCTGAAGCTGAAACATGAAATGTAAACACATATGAACCCAATGAGATTTCACTGTTTATTTTCTTTAAACGTTTAACAACTTTGTTGAGGAGATTGGGGTAAATTATGCTTATAAGGATCCAATTTAACTGTTGTGTTTCGGGTGTGACAACAGATTTTAATTCAGTCAGATCTTTATAGATAAATAGCTGTGTCGGCGACTTCGTCCGCGAGAGTCGTTATTTTGGGCATGCAAATTACGATTCCCGTTTACGTTCCGTGCTACTACGGTTGGTTGGTTTTTCACGCATTTTCGTGCATGGTTTTTCACGCAAAACTATTATTTATGTAGTGCTTCTTCTAGCTAGATATTTTAGACAAAGGAATGTGATAATAAATTGTACATTTAATGGTTCTAAAAAATCTTGTTCAAATGCAGTAAGCAGACGATCTTTAACAGTTCGAGAGCGTCGTTCAAACATTAAAATATTAATATCTCGTTTAAGAATAGCCTGCGCTACGAAGCTCAATAAATTATTTACAATAAAAAGCACACTTCCCTCGCAGACTGGACGAGTTGCAATAGAAGAGAGAAGAGAAAACTGTACAACTAAATAGAATGCTTTCAGCTGTCGATTGAGTAATGTTAAAAAATTAAAACTTTTCCCGAGTTCATTTTAATGAATTGCTTTAGCTACCATCTTGGTTTTAAGTGCTATTAATTTGTGGCTGACATTTATATCTTTTACTCGTGTAAAGCTAGCTGTGCGAGCGAATTCGTACGCGTTCATCATACTATTTATTTTTCCCGTCGTTTATATTGTGACCGAACAATTTTTTTTTGCCGAAACTAAAAGCTCACTATTTCCATTGAACTAAGTATATTTACAAAATCTACATATGTATAAAAGAAAAAATATTCATTGGTCGAAAAAATAATGGCGTCAAATTTCGGGCAAAAATTTAACGGCCGTTACGGATTAATATTGTTTGATGTCCGTAACTTTAGACGTGTAAGCCTTACGGAACATTTTAATTTAATCAATCTACCTTTTGTGTTAAATTTCACTGTATTCGTTACACGGCTGTGTTTATTTGCGCACATACAAGATGTAGTTTAAGTTTTCAGAAACCAATCATAAATACTTTGGGATTTCTTACAAAACCTAGGGATTTTCTACTATATTATTTATAGACGGGCTCTCTGGTGTAATGGGTAGCAATGTATAGAATCTACGGGTCGTGTGTCCGATCGCCATTAAGTCCAACATTTGTCTAATCATTTTATAATATTTCTGAAACATGGATTCTTGAAATCTTTATATCATCTAAATGGGTGGCATAGATATCAAAATTACGTCTGATCCACGAACTACCGTCCGTAGATGAAAAAGCAGTGAAATTTAATTACCTACGGTTCGAATTTATTAAAGTAACTGTAACAATAGTATTTTTCAACGTAAACATATTGGCAGGAGCATAATAACAAAGTTTATGTAAAAAGAGGTCGTATAATTAATAATTCGGTGATGGAAGTTATCAGATAAAACTTTAAGTGAGTATTTCTTTGTTAAGTTCGATGTCCTTTAAAACGAGTTTTCATTACTGTAGGAGGGCAATTTGAACATCCAGATGTAATAAAAATAACGTTACTTAAATAAGTGGAACGGGAGCCAGTTTTATTTTCAAAGCTTACAAAACATATGACATTTGATAACAGACTTTTAAATGCAAAAATGGCACGGCAAACATTCAATCTTGAATAAGAATACAATAATTATAAGTTAGTTTTAAAGAGATCTTATTTGGTGTAAGGCTATCAAAACTTTGCTTTATATTAAAAATTTCGAATTGTTTTCAACTGCAAAAGTGTTTTGCCTAATTAATGTATGTGTGTAAACTACAAGAATTGGAAAAGTTTAATATTTATCACATTTAAAGATGGCACTATATAAATTGAATCAATTGACACGGTAGCTCAATTGGTTAGAGCAACAGCACGGAACGCTGACGATGCCGGTTCAAATCCTGTCCGAGTCGAAATTTTATCTATAATCGATTTTTAACTACTAATATTAAATGAGAATTTTAACCGATTTTTAACTGTTCCAAAGCAGATATTCAAACTAGTTCTACACAAATTAACGTATGAATATGAATTTCGTTTGTGTCACATTCTGTATGCCACTCGTAACCTATAAATCTGGAATGGAGCATCGATTGTCTAAAAACAAAGGGAACCATAGACCACTCAACAAAATCTGTTGCGAATATTGAATTAGTTCATTCTTATTATTCCAGTTTTAATTCCAAAAGCTGCACAGTCATCTTTTCCTCTCGAGTAAGAGTTTTTGAGTAGAACCTGCCAATTAGGCATGAATGAAATATTTTTGACATTACATAACCGTATTAGAATTTTCCGAGAGAAAGGAGAATTTCTTTAAATATCTAAAGATTCTTCTTGTATTAATCTTAAGCCGCGTTGACTATCAACTAAATTTGAAAGTATGCATCACTGTATTTCTTTAATCTATATCTGATCAAATGAAAAAAGGTGCAACATTTACTTTTAAAGCTTCGTCGTAGTTACAAAGCTAAAATTGTCAAACACACATAATTTCTCAGTCGTCTCGTATTAATAAAACTCAATTTTGTTTGTTTATATGCACTCTGCATGGCTTTAAAACTAATTGTTGCTCCCCAAATGTAATTCTACAGCCTTAAATGATTCGTGCGCGGTTTATTCTGACACTTAGTTCGTGATTCTTCTCAGAACCACCTCGTGACACCACATCGTGTCGCTCGATCAAACATACTCCCGTTACATAACACGGTCATCCACCATACGAACACCGGTACTTACTGCATCGATTATGTCACACAGCTGGCATAGGTCGTGGGGGAACGAATTTTAAGTTGATAGGAGCGGGCCGGTACAGCGCTTCGCGATGTGAATTAGCGTGGGTCGGTACTCGCGGGGTCGATGGAGACGAGAGGTCGGAAGGGGAGGGGGTGGCTCGGAGGCTGCGGACCGTGCGGGTGATTATATAACGCGAGCGGAGCTTGGATACGTGCGGCCCCCGTGGGGCAAGAGACGCGACTGAAGCCGAGCGGCCGTCATTGAACCAAGCTGGGCGATACCACCCAGACGATTAGGCCTTCGTGTGTGCGAATGTTTTAGAACATTGGGGCTAATAAACCTGAGTGCGATCCGGTTGAAGGATTTTAATACATCCTTTGAGCGCGTCGCGTATCGCCACATCGTGACAGGGGGAACTCTTTGAAACTTCATTGGTGGGACAGAGTTTTAATACTCAAGCAAAAGGTGGGATAAATGTTTTCTGTAATAATTGTAATAATTAACAAACCTTATACATACTGTCTATAGTTTACGCGAGTAGTACACATTTAAATAAAACACTTTAACGGTTTAAAACGCGATATATTAGTTAAACTTAGACTTGAACGTTTCGGATGCTTTGCAGCAAAGCTTTGTTTTGCTCTTTGCATCGGGCCGAAGTTAAAAATCATTTTCGAAATAAGTTTAACTAATATATCGCGTTTTAAACCGTTAAAGTGTTTTATTTAAACCTTATACAAATTTAAAGATGGTCTGTAGCTTACGCGAGCAGTACACGTTTAATTAAAACATTTTAACGGTTTAAAACATGATATGTATTAGTTAAACTTAATTGAAAATTATTTTAACTTCATGCTTTGTATTAGCCGTGGTCACGGGGAGACGAAACGTCGGGCCGTTCTTCAACAAACAACCCAATAAAGGCGTCTTTTAAAAGTAAACTTTCGCCCGGGCGAGCAGATACATGTGCCTCCCCTAATTAGCTATTTTGCCACGAGTTTCGAACCAAGGAGTTTGATTCCTTGCAAACCATTGAACAACAAAGGTTCGAACATAAAGTATAACAACAGATAAATTTGCATACGCCGTTAGAAGTTTTATTTGGAAAATATTAACCACGCTTTAATTAACAGGCATATATGTAATGCGTGTTGAGGCATAATGTAGAGTCGAATAGAGTCATTAAGTAAATGGATGGCTGTGTACATCAATATTCATTGAAATAAAACTCGCAGATTTTACATTCTTAGCAAAGCATAGAGAATGCATTTGGCGTGGTCTGCATGATAATCTTGTTTCAAGGTATCCTTGAGTGATGAGTTTTGAATCGTTTTACGCCTTTTTAAAGATAAAAGCATGGGGTACATTGATGGTAGATGAAATGCCACAGCCATAACCATCTAAATAAGACGCGCTATCGAACTTTTTTTGGCCTTGGATTTAAGAAATCTACAGGCTAAATCCGAAACGGTACTTAACAGCGTATTCATCTTATACGAATATGATTAGTATAACAGACACAAAAATAAATCCGGGCCATTTTCCATTCATTTTTATGATTTTTATCACGTGTTTATAAATGCAAACACTAGCCAATACTAACAGGACACTTTACTGGGTTACGGTTTAAGATGTCCTTTTTATTTGCTTTTGTTTTTTAGATATATACTTGAGTTTACTACTCTAGCTAAAAAAATATTTCGTAGTATGTCAGTAAATATTTTTTTTTTACATTTTAATAATAAAATGTTTTTTTACTTTATTTTAAAAACTGCTGCTAGTGTTTATTGAAAACCTTCAAATTGCGCTTATAACAACGCCCTCTTACTATAAAATATGAAAACATAAACGTACAAGCAACAACGCCATCTAGTGTTGAGTAGATGAAGATAAATGAACCTTTTCATATTTTTATTAGCCCAAGCGTGTTTTACCATTTGCATGGGGATACATAACAAAGTAAGTGAATTTGTATTCAAAATTAGCTGAGAGGGTTATAGATTTTTCTAATTCAATATTTCCATTTTCAGTGTAGATTAGAAAGATAACTGAAAAGTTATTATTCTAATGATTTTATTAATAAAACTACAAATAAATAGTTAAAATTTTTATTTCCAGAAAGATAAATATAGATACTTAATCGTTTTTAGTACCACGTACCTGAATAGTAAATAAACATATTTTTGGCTTAATCAGTCTCATATGTTAAATAAATAACTTAATATACTTAAATAGACTTCGGTATTAATAATTATTCTACTATTTTAAATAATTAGACATAGAAAAACTAAGAATATCCAATCCATTGTTACTTAATTGACATTATTACGTAATACTTATTGTAACATAATTTGTAACAAATATTATTTAACATACAACAACCTTTTTAATAGACCGAAGATATTTTATCGACATATTGAAGCTAGGTACATAATAGAAAATAGAAGGGCATATATTTTATAAATATATATTAAATATACCTATGGTTTATATTAGGAGACATACATATAACTACGTCACAAGTATCGGAGGAGATAATATTTTGCGTAAAAGACACAAATGTCATCGTGTGACAAAATACTTAGTAGTTTCCTACTAGATTATAAGAAGCATTATTGAATATGTACTTAAATAATACTAAAATAAGAAGCTCGAAAAAATAGAGGGACAAAAGTATTATCTGTAATTTACGTGATTCGTACACTTTTCAATAAAACATGGTTAGATACAGATTGATGGCATTCTTACTGCGACTGAATATGTTTGAGGCGTCCCTAGTGTCAAAATCCAAACTGCTACGTTACCGCCATCTGTTTTGTTGCAATGCGTATTTGTTGAAACAGACTCTGTCCTTATTAAATTGACTCACGGTGTCCTCGAGTTTACAGTCATGCTGTGTTTTGGGATCTTTTGTTTCAATATGATGCTACAAAGCATCTGATCATAAATAATTTGTTTCGCGTTTTAAACCGTTAAAAATATTCTTTTAAATAAAACACTTTAACGGTTTCAATGAAAAAGGAAAAAGTAAAAGGTTTCGGATGTTTTGCAGCAGCCGTGGTCACAGCTGAAACGTCGGGCCGAAGTTAAAAATCATTTTTAAATAAGTTTAACGAATATATTGCGTTTTAAATCGTTAAAGTGTTTTATTTAAATGTGTACTACTCGCGTAAACTATAGACATATATAAAATAGATAAAAAAATTCTTGTAATGAGTCAAAAAAGATGATACTTGGTGTGACGTAGTTCTGTTATGTAGTTTTCCTTAGTAACGCTTAAATATTATTTGGAATACATTAAACAATTCTGTCGCCTTTTTTTATCCTTTATCATTTATTTATTTAGGCATATCGCTCCATGCAACCGAAGCAAAAGAACACTAGAAGCCAGTGTCTAGGTGTGGTCTTATGCGACTGAATTGGTATTACCAGTTCCAGTACTGAACTGTCGTCCTCGTCAGATGCTGTCAGTTCCACTTCATAAAGCGGTGAAGAGTCGTTGTCAGAATCGGTATTAGTGTTCCAAGCTTCTGTGCCATTTGGCGATAGGTTGGTCATCCTCTGTAGGTGAGATAAGAAAAATATATAATGATTCGTTTTATGCAACAAAAGTGGAATATCGGAGCCTTATAAGATCCTAAAGAGATGTGCTGGTCGACATTCGGAGATTTACACATTGAAAACGAAACACCATTATACTTCTCATATCCAATATATAAAATTCTCGTCTTTGACACGAGTGCTTTCGTTGCCATACTCCTCCGTAACGGCTTGACCGATTTTGATGAAATTTTTTGTGCTTATCCGGTATCTATGACAATCGGCCAACGTCTATTTTTCATCTCCCTTAATGTTAGGGGTAGTCCACCCCTAAATTTTATTTTTTATTTTTTAGACAAAATTTTTGAATTTCTATTTTTTATGATACAAAAATACATACAATCCTCAATTTTCACCCTACTACCGATCAACCTTATTTTTTCCTTTCCGCAAAACAACGTTTGCCGGGTCAGTTAGTATTTATATAAGATAAAGATTGGATTGATCGATTCGATCCTCGACGGCTCCCAAAAGTTTATATTTTGTGGACATCTTGATGCAAGCTAACAAAATAAGAAAAACATCGTACCCGGCTTGTGGTATTTTAAAACATGCACTTGAGTAACGTGAGAAATTAAAGTTTATGTACGCTTTAGGAGGCCCAGTCGTCATAGTTTTAACTTTTGTTCTTATAATACACAAAAAACCTCTTATTAAAAAAAATGCCTTCATCATTCTTACAGTTAAATTACAATTGAAATAAAAGGCCGAGATTTGATTAAAATATGATGAAGTTGTTTTTATATATTGCGTCATACTTTCAACGACGATCCGTTTGCAAGAGAGCGGGAAAACAAAAACATAAAGATTTTACATGTACTACCAACATAAGACAAGAAAAGTAAACAGTCCTCCCAACATTAAATCAATCATGATGAAATTGACATGGCACAGATTATCTAACAGATCGCTAATTGCTTTAAGACCACCTCTGTAGCAAAATGATTGAACGTGTTGCCTAACCGCCTGAGGTCCCGAATTCGAACCCCGGAGATACCCTACAACTTACTTATAGATAAAACAGATCAGTGAAGTGGACACAGATATGTGTTCGCCCCAAGACCCATGGGGGAAACCGGATAACGATTGCTATAAGCTTAATAACATATTTCTTAGGGGTGTGTTTGGGTATATGTAAATGTATTCATAGTACGTGACAAAATCCTTCGACAAAGTATTCCCAAAAATAATTTCACGCTTGTCTATCGCACGTTATTTTACCTTTTTGGGCCTGCCACTTTAATGAGTCTCCCGAACGCTTCAACATATCTCAAAGTGTAGTAAAATATATTAGGAATAGGTCCTTGTTTTTCATTTAAGATTTCAGGATACCCCTTTCCCTTAGAAATAGACCTTTACATTATATTTAGTTGTTTTGTTTCTAATTACTGTTCGAGTATTTATCACTATTTGAATGTGTACATTTCTTATGTTCTGTAAGTGCTGTCGTTCCGTCTTAATACTAGTTTGGCGATATCTATACAGTATGTAAAAAATTGAGATCTTATTTTAGCAAAACTAATCATTATATTATAATTTTCTTTACGTGCCTCGAGTTCCGCGTAGATCGCCAGCTTCAACCTGGCCGTCACACCCATATTGGAATGTGTTCCACTGTTTCCGTGTGCTCGGAAGCATAAGAAATAGGTTGTAGCGTGAGTGAAAAATAATCTTTCTTACCAGTTGTTCCTGATGCTTAAATGAGTCTATTAGCGGTCGATTGAGCTCAGGGTGCTCGTTCTTGTAATCCTCCTTGAAATTCCATTTGATATAACCATTTGTGTCTGCACTGTTGCTTTGTTTCCTCCACAAAGACTTCTGCAACTTCAAATATATGAATAATAAATACTAAATATATATTCAGAACCTTTGTTATTTACTAATTATGTGGCTTTTAGGAAAACACTCAAATCACATTTCTCACATGAAATGTGTGGTAGGAATATCGAAATTCCGTCCGGGTCACGAACCACTGTCCACAGATGAAAACGTCGTGACGTCTAATCGCGTTTCCGTTGTAGTCTGTGGATTTCCAAATAGGGATGTTATATGGTTGGGGTATATTCCACCTAATCGCATGCTTCACTTACTCTATCATTTAAAAAATGCTTGCACAAAGCATGGGAGGTAATACTAATGTATTTTCAAGACCTTGCTGTATTTATCACTACTCGCTATGTCTGTAAATAAAAAACTATTTCACCTGAAGTTCATCATCTTGAGGTTTTCTTTCAATTTTGTCATATTCATAAGTATTCATGAAAACATTATTCGTTTCACGATCTCTAGTAAACACGGCGTTCTGAAATAACAAATTTTCACATTAAGAAAAATATAAACTAGATACTGTCTATAGTTTACGCGAGTAGTACACGTTTAAATAAAACACTTTAACAGTTTAAAACGCGATATATTAGTTAAGGATTAGTGTTATTATTAGGATTAGTTAAGGGGGAGACTCCCCGTGACCACGGCTGCTGCAAAGCATCCGAAACGTCGGGCCGAAGTTAAAGTCAAATAAGTTTAACTAATATATCGCGTTTTAAACCGTTAAAGTGTTTTATTTAAAAAAATATAAACTTACATATATAATTTCTGAAACTCTATCTATAGTGCTATCTGGGAAATATCCGTATTTTACCAATTTAACAATATTTTTTTATTAAAAATAAATTAGCTGTAAATATAGGACTAATTACCAAACTGTTGTAGGTTCAATCCCCACCGGATCTATCTTGTTTTTAATAACTTTATAAATTTAAATAAAACACTTTAACGGTTTAAAACGCGATATATTAGTTAAACTTATTTGAAAATGATTTTTAAGTTCGGCCTGACGTTTCGGATGCTTTGCAGCAGCCGTAGTCGCGGGGAGACTTAAGTTAAAAATCATTTTCAAATAAGTTTAACTAATATATCGCGTTTTAAACCGTTAAAGTGTTTTTTTAAATGTGTACTACTCGCGTAAACTATAGACAGTATTTAACTTTATAAATTTTCTGAATCATTTTGGTCTTTAGAAATCTGGAGAATGAATGGGTAGTAGGAATATCGAAATTCCGCCCGGATCAAAACGAATGAAGTTCATGAATGAAGAAGCCATGAAGATTCGGTTTCAGTCTGTGGATTTCCGAATATCTCAAGCCAATATATGTGGAGAGCGCTTCATTTTTGAATGTTATATGGCTATGGTAGTACAATGCCTGTCAATCATCTGTCTGTCATCATCTATCACAAAAAAGGTACCCACCGTTAAAGAGGTTTTTCCCTCGTCGCTGTCTATGCCGCTATCGTAAGGGTCACTACTTCGGGGTATCAGTGCCTTGTTACCCATTTTAGCCAGCTAAAATTATTTTAAAAGGTAAATAATGAATTTGGTTTTAATATATTTAAGAAATACACTACTAAAAAGTACACTGTAAAATTTGTGGTTTACCCACTACTGTGTTACTAATGTTAACAACAAGAGAGAAAAACTATTTTCATGTAAATTTATGTATGTTGATTCCCAAATAATCTATAAATAGTCACCTGGATGCAGCCAAAAGCCAGACCTTGGATACACAATGTATTGATGATACTGGCAGGATATAAGCCATAAAACCTCCACGCAGTTTACCAAGACCCCGGATCCCGCCCTCCGCGTTGCCATGGTAACCAACGGTTGCGCGCGCAATCCTAACTCCCAATTCAAATAAGACGTTTCGTCAAATAATTTTCACCTTAGTTTATTAAAAAGATTACATCTTTTTAACTATGTTGTGTTATTTAATTTAGAAGATTGGTATGGCACCAAAGAAGGTACGAATTCCATTTTATGCTAGAGTTTTTAAATAAAATATTAATAAATAGCCATAAGCGCATATAAACCTTGATTTATCATAATTACTTCATTTGTATATTTACATACTAACTGTATAATAAAAAATCTTACGTAATATTTATACTTAAGTATAGGAAAACGTAGAGTAATAAAAAATATTGATCTAACATACGCCGTTGCTACAGATTTGTTTGTGAAATGTTATTTTGAACTAATTTGAAGGTAACAAATAATTTTATTTACATTCAAACATGTATATTTGAAACCGTTTGATGTAACCGATTCATTTTATTTTGTTTTTCAGAAAAAATTCACAGTTCTTTGAAAATAGTAAATATTTTCAAAGGACTGTGAAATTTTTTATTTAAAAGGACGAAACAACAAACAAGCACCGAAAAATACCACTTGCACTCAGATACAATATATCTATTTACAGGTTGATTCAGTGTTGTGTAAGCAATATTTACATTTCGTGATTATTATAACCAGTTACAGACACTACTATTACAATGGTCACACACTGCCCCAAAGTAATTGAAGACATTTTTAAAGTTTACGCAAATAGTACACATTTGAATTAAACACTTTAACGGTTGAAAACGCGGTGGATATTAGTTTAAACTTTGGGCCGTAGTAGATACATTTTAACTAATATCTATCACGTTTAAAATCGTTTAAGTGTTTTATTTAAAAGCATTAAGGTTGCATTGCGCGAAGTATACATAAAAGTGTTGATAACATTTGGAGATAACAGACTAAATACGGTCGCTTAATTGAAAACAAACAGGATAGTGAGGTCACGGATTCGATGCCCGCCGGTGTCATAAAAGTTTCAATAAAGTGATGAATTAACAGTAATTTTAGGATTGGAAATGTCGAACTAGCCGCTAGCTAGACTTCTAGGTTAAAGGAAATCCGTTCTGCTTATATCTGGTCCGAAATGTCGAAACGTCTGCCAGATATATGGCGCAATAAGACATCAGAGAAATCTATAGGATTGATTTTGAAAAAGCTTCGTGTGAGTGCCGTAAGTTCCACAGCAATGTAAATATGACCTGGCAACCTGTGTGTGTGTCCATTGTCTTGGGTTATGGCTTAAATTTTCATATTGGTACATTCTTCCAAACGTTGGTACTTAATCTGAAATGTTGTTTTACACTACCAATATGAAATAGTAATAAGTCTTGTGGTGCGTCCTTGCATGTATAATTTTCATAACAGCTTTGCAAGTTGAAGTTGTAAATCGTTGTGTTCATTAAACAAATTAGTAAGGAATCCATTTCATCGTATAAAGTGGCTTTTATAAAGAACATTCTGAGTGTTTATACTAGTTATTTAGGCGTTAGTACGCTAAGCAAAAGTACGTACGTTCCTCAGTCAAGTAATTATTTAATTTAAAAATGGATTTTAGATTCAATAATTTTTCAATCTAAAATCGGTTTTTATTTTTTATAATCCCATCACGTGCAATGACATGTGAAAAATATTAAAAACATATTTGCCAGAGAAGGACACATCAAAACTAATTACCTACTTAACGGTTCAACAGCACGAAAAACAGTAATCGAATTTAGACTACAACCCGATTTGATACTTGGCATTCCTTGTCCGTTTTACCGTGAAGGCTCTTTCACTTCACTTAAAGGGTGGAAAAATGTAAGATGCAGCTTTATATGTTTTTCATCGATCATTATACTATAACGCTGTTAAACAGATCACGCAACTTTGGTAATACGCCATAAAGACATTTACAACCTATCGTTAGCCTTTACGTTATAGGACAAGACGTATCTGTAATTCAGAATACTTGTAGGGTAATAATGCAAGATTTCTAATTACAAGCTTTCATACTTCCATTAAATATTACATATAAAGTCAAAGTCACTAAATTTAACGATAATAAAACCATTCAAAGTAATTTTTATCTTTTAAATATTGATTAACGCAACGGCGAATTCAGGGGTGGTCATGGGGTTATGACTTTAAAAAATTATGCAATCACCTTGATTAGAGTGACTACTTCAATGCAGCCTTCTGGTTGGTGGTTTTTTGTCCTTATTGACCACGAATTTTGCGATTTACCTTTAAAGATTCAAGTGCCTGATCGCGTAACCCTCACGGTTTATAAAATGCAGTCTATATGCCCACATTATTTAATCCGTACTTAAATATTGTGTGCATATAGACCCTAAAACATGTATGTATTTGCATAACAGTATATAAAAAATACAAAACGAAAGATTACTTTAATAAAAAAAACAATTTACTCACCTATTCTTAACCGACTAAGTTTTGAATATAGTTAATTAATTCTCGTATTAATAAGCATTATGTACACAAGCTCTCATTGAGAACGTTGATATTGTTCAGCCCACAAAAGGCCAAATGCAAAACCGTTTCAAAAGTCAATTTGTGAGCAGATACGCTGTAAGGCTTGATTCGCTCTACAAGCGAAGCTTTAGCAAAAGACGAGCAAGAATTTCTTACAGACAACTCCTTTGAACGGTTATAAATTCTAACTACACTATACTTATTCATTTACAACCATGGCATATTCTCGTTAGTGGCATACTGAGAAACAAGGGGACACCGTCAGTTCCTTTAGAACCCAAATGGTTTCTAATACTCTAGGGACACCCTTTGTCTTCAGTCCCCACCCGTATCCACAGCTGCAAAGCCTCCTTGACATCGGGCCGTTTTAAAATAAATTGTTAATAAGTTAAAAAAAATCGCTTGATTGAATTGAAACTGTTAAAAATGTTATGTTTATAATTCCTTGTTTCTTTATAAGTTGTCTTTGTCTGCCTTCATAAACTGGATAGGATGAAGATTTCATAAAAAAACGCCTTATTTGGCTTAAAATTGCAACAATGTTATGAAATTATTAATAATAATATAATTCTTACATAAATAATAGTAGAAATGAATCTTCGCCTAATTGCGCATTTTTATTTTCCTCCTCAATGAAAATCATGTTTTTTGTTATTTTGCCACTCTGACTCTAGCAGCCTCAATTGTCTGGACGATGAGCCTAAAAGGGGGTGGTAAATAGAAGGCATAAAACGTTGTTGTCGTCTGTACAAGCTAATGCCAGACACTGATGCTAATTAGAATTCGGTGACACGCTCGCCGGAACTCTATTAGCTCTGTGCTATTAGATACCTTACAGATTTGAATTTCGATTTTTTATTTACCTCCATTGAAATTTATAAAAAGGAATTAAATTGTTTCTCCAAGAATTCATTATATATATTCTTTGTGAAACTGTATATTCATCTATGTCTAAGCTATGTAAAGATGCGGGGTAAAGTTAGTCCCTTGGTAGAACCAAAAAGGAGTCCCATTTCGGTCGAACTTTGGGTTCCAGAAAAGTAAGTCGTCATATCGAATGTCTTTTGTTTTGTATCTATTGACCTACCATGTATTCTATTATATGCTCATAATTAAGACGGATTGAAAGTTCTTGTAGGTAAGCATTATTGTCTACTCTACTTAATATTGATAATACTATGTTCGAAGGTAATTTGTACGGTATTGTAACTAAAGCTCATCTATAAGTTTAAGTAGTTTACTCATTAAAAACATTTATTATACTCGTCTGTATCTGTCGGTAACTGATACTGAACGATCACTTGATTTCCAAGAAATGCAATGCAGTTCATACCTTCATTTTAATTAGTCCCTTGGATCACTTAGACTACTGCAGTCATATGGATTTTAGCATTGCGGTAACTTACAAAAACTAAAAAAAGAATGTTATCCGACGATGACAGTGACGTGAGTACTTTATCGGCACTTTTGCGTGTTCTTGAATAACAGCGCTTCCACGAATTTAAAAGTTATTAACTCATTTCGAATGCTTAAAGCACGCAATGGTTTTAATGGTTTGTTTACGCTTGCTTTCACTGAGCTCAAAATAGCAGTTACAATCCAGTTACATGATCACGACCAATAAACTTGTTCCATAAAACAATATGCAAATCCCGAATATTTACTCATAAACCAAAGTGCTGCTTAAAGCTTTAACGTTTTGAAGGCAGCAGTTCTTGATTTGCGGCTGACTTGTGTGCTTGTTTTGCCAGTGTATTACATTAAACATGTTGAAAGCTATGGTTAAGCGTGCTTTGAAGTGTGACGACGAAAAGGCTCTCCTTACTAGGACGTTACAAAAGTTTGATGTAGGCATCATTGATCCGTTTAAGTTGTGTGATTGAATTTATTGTAAAAATTGTATTTGTGTTTAGCAAAAGGAAGCAACTAAATCCCGCGCTAATTTGGCTGAAGATGAAGCATTGGAATGGCTTAAACCACGTACTCTTATAAAACCTGATGACCAAGATGAAGTACCGGACGCGGTAAGAGTAATTTTTTTTACTTGCGTTTGTTACAAAATTTCGCATGTAAGAAATAATCATTAATCTACTTAATTAGTCTATGTATACACTTCTTATTGCTGATAGGATCTCGAAGAAGAAGTTGGCAGAGTCCTAACTACTATAAACCCTCAATGGGTCTTAGATGAAGTAGCCTATCATTACGGTCAAAATAGATTTGCCTTAAAGGCTAAACCGACCTTTGGAAAAGCTTATCCTTTGTATATATATCAAGGAACAGCTATACGAAAAGATTCGGATGAAGCAAAGGCCCAAATAGCTGCGGGTTATGGTAAGAATGACTAACAAAGTCACTAAATCTCTACAGCACAATTTTTTTAATCAAACAGATACAGTGACTACAGAGTCAAAAAGAAATAAAGTAATTCGGTAAGAAATGAGATATCTCTCATAATGTTGAGAAATTATAATCATGTAAATTTAAAAGGGATGGTTGGGTTCGATGACGCTGGTCCAAAGCGTGCTAAAGTAAAGAAATCTGCCGCTGAAGAAGAAGAGGAAGAAGAACCGGAACCCGAACCACAGCCACCACCAGAAGAAGCTAAACCGGAAGGTAAGTTTCACACATAAAAGAGCCACTATCAATTTTCTATGTACCTTTTAATTGTAATTCGTTACTTTAAGTCTTACTTATTTTGTGTATAAAATACGGAACACATTATTAAAACGGTTTGCTAGCCTTAGGTCATGGTCATTTGAAATGTTTTTGTACTCTCCTTAAATCCATTCACACAAGGGGACTATGACGTCACCCTAAACTTTATTCGAAATTATTTTCAAACATTGATTTCAAATTATTTTTTTAAACATTTTGCTCAAAAATTAAAGATATCGAGTTATCGACCTACATAATATAAAAAAATAAATAAATAAATATAATGCATATTTTATTTATATAATTCTTTAGAACTCGTGATAATAAACTGCAATTTACTAAAAAAAACAATTTATTATATATATTGAATTTACACTATATTCGTGTTTAAAAACTATAATATTAATTTCACACAAAACGCTTAATTTTTATTTGATTGTGAGGATAATTTATATTTCATAGAGGACGCTGTTCAGGAAGAGGAAAAGCCTGTGCCAACAGAAGAGGCGGAAGCCGCTCCGACCGAGGTGGCTGATGAGCAAGCTGGTGATGAGGGTGGCGAGGAAGCGGCCGGCGAAGAGAGTATGCTTATATTTTTCAACTAATTGCAAATTCTGTCGGGCAATATGTTGATAGTGATTACAAAGTGAAGACTTTGTTTATATAGATAATAAATTAAATCGAATGTTACATGATGGAACTATCATCCAAATTAACATGGTATCTGCATCATACGTATTTTGTAATATTAATTACGTTAAAAGTTAATAATAGGATTACAATTAGGATACTTTTACGTTAATTGGCGAAAAAGTGTTAGTAGTAGGTTAGTGGTAGTAGTAACTTAAATAAAACAAAAATAGATTAGTTAACTTATCCCGTGACCACGACTGCTGCAAAGCATCCGAAGCATTGGTCCGTAGTTAAAATAAAATCACTATACATTTTCGCGTTAGCTGCTTATAGTGCAATTTGTATATAATTATAGAAGAAGAAGAGGGAGGCGGTCCGCCACCTGTAGAAGAAGTCTTAGATATCAAGCCGCGTGTTAAAAAACTTGCCAACCAGTTCAACTTTTGTGAGAGAGCTGCACTGACGTACAACAATCCGAGGAGGGTAAGAGTAAATTGTCAATTAATATAAAGTGTTGCGGGGAGGGGGCAGGTAGAAATAAACGATTTATTTTTGTAGTCTGTGGATACTCAAACCATTCCTCCACCTCGAGCCAATTATGGTTCTACTTGCCTGCAATCCATCATCTTCGATTTTTACCAAGAAGATTATGCTAAGAAAATGCGTGAAAAAGAAGAGGAAAAGCCTAAGCGGGTATGTTTTAATATAATTCGAATTAACAGGTAAAATATGAATACTAAGAATTGGGGTTGATTTAATCAATACAATTATTCCTTCATTCAATTATTATAACATTTTTGTTTGAAAGTTACGCAAAAAAGCTGCCAAACACGCCAAATCTGAACAACAAATACATGATGAGCAACTTGCGCAACGGATACGTGAAGCTTGGACGATTCTGGAGAGACTTGTCAACCAGAACATTTATGATGATATCGGTATAATATAATGTGTTTATCTTTATCGGTTTATACGTTTTTTTTTTAAGTTTTGTTCATTGTTCAGCTGACAATGTTAACGATTATTATTATTTGATATGGCTTACAGTTAATTCTAATAGATTATCCATATCATCTCTTAGTAGGTATTTTATTTCTCAAAGGTTCAGTCAAAACTTAAATTTTTAAGGTACTAACGATGTTGCAGTTCTTATTGTTGAATTATATAAATAGGTTTCCAAAGTTATAATTAAAATTTAAAGCCCAAAAGCTTATCCAATTTAAAATAAAATAAATAAAGACATGTCTAAATTTTAGACATAATTTCTTCCAGTCTTTTGCTGATTGTTTTCATATCGTATGTCTTTTTCTCGTATTGCTTTACCGTAGACTTAATATCAGTAGATTGATATTAAGGTCGTTATTTACAACATAGACTAATCAATAGAGGATCTTATTGTAGCTTTTTACAAATCTCTGTATATCTATCTTACTAGATCGTCATGTGTAGTAGTATATGCAAGTTGTACATATTTTAAAATCTTTTTACTACTACTTTTTCGCTTTTTTAGCTCAAGACTATCGGTACTGGGATGATCCATCTGATGAATTCCGCGAAGGAATGGGCTCACTTCTTCCTCTCTGGAAGTTCCAGTTTGAACCCATGCGAAGTCACGCGGTATGCGACGTGCAATGGAATCCACACTATCAGGACTTGTTTGCTGTTGCTTATGGCTCTTGTGAGTTAAAGAACAATTTAAATCTCTCTCATAAGAGGGGGCATATGTGACCAATGTTGGGTCATTGATTTTACTTTTTTTGCAGTGGATTTCACAAATCAACAGAAGAACGGTTGTCTGTGCCTGTATAGTATCAAAAACCCAGCGTACCCGGAGTATTCTGTTGTTACAGAATCGCCGATTATTTGTCTCGATGTTTATAAGGAGACTCCATATCTTATTTGTGTTGGTGAGTCCTTAGTTACAGTTTTTTTAATACACACACGCACACCACATATATATGTGTGTTTTTGTGTGTGTGTATGTATATATATACGTTTCCGACGATCGCCAAGTCTTCTTAACAGATTAAGTTCATAATAATTAAGAAGTAATTATTGTCAGTTAAGACTCTTAACTTTTAAATCTAATCTAAGAATAATAACAGTAGTATTTAAACTGAATCATCCAAATTTTAATTAAAATCATTTGTTTAAATAATTCTTAAATAACCAGTCGTGCACTACACAACTTCGAGTCATTTCGTCATCATGTCTTACTAATGGTACCATTCTTTTGTGTGTGTACTTATGTCTATTTATTATTTATTTTCTTTCGGGGACACCTGTGGTAGGACGGGTGATCAGTCCACGTTATCAGCTGACCATTTCACCCATTTCCCCATTAAATTTTACTTATGTCTATAGATTCTTGGATCTTTGTTTCCTGTACAGGTCTATACGATGGCAACGTTTGCGTATATAATGCCCAACTTACATTGGAGTCTTCATATCAGTACAAATCTGACTCAGTGAGGGACAAACATAGTAATATCGTTTGGGAAGTAAGTATTATCTTCAGATATTATTAAGTATTTTTGACTGTATACAACATGAAGGGAATGAGAGATCGTTGAGTAGTCATCAATGTTTGGTACAGTTTCAAAGTTCGATATTTAGCACTGAGATAAAGCCCAAGTTTTTCCGAATATCCAAAGCCAAAATAAGTCGACAGCGCATCTTATGTAGATGTTGTATGGCTGAGGTATTTCGCCTTCCATCGAGTGAACCCCATGCTTGTCTGCCTTTCTCTATCATAGAAAAAATCTTAGTTAAAATCCTAAAGAAATATCGTTTTCCCCTTGCCCAGTTTAGAGACTTGGTACTATTCAATATTTGTTCAGATAAGGTGGGGCGCTCGTCTAATTGATGGCGAAGCATCATTCTTCTCGATATCGGGAGACGGCAGAGTAGTTCAATGGGCCGTGATGCCTGGTGAGCTACAAGCGACTACAATCATCACACTTCGGTCCAATGTGCCACCCATACCTGGACCTGATGGGACGCTGCTGACCGTAAACAGTAAGATTGAAATTATTTTTTGTGGGTACTTGATGATAAAATTATAAAACACGATACACTCAAATAACTGTTCCACGGTTGAAGATGCGAAATAAGTTAGCTAACCTTTCTACGCCCGAAGGTTCGGGTACCTTTTTGGGCCCCGGCCCCCGGGGGGGGGGACCCCCCCACCCCCCAACCAAAACCCACCCCCCCCCCCCCCCCCTCCCCTGGGGGGAAAAACCCCCCCCCCGGGGGCCCCCCCCCCACCCCCCCCCCCCCCCCGGCCCCCCCCCCCCCAATTTCTACAGTCATATTAGCAAAATTTGTACGAAAGCCTACAGAAATATAGGTTTTGTTCTTCGGATGGCGTGGGGATTCTCCAATATAGAGAAAGTCAGAAGCTCTCCTAGTCAGAAGCCACCTTGAAGCAAATGTCATTATCTGGGCTCCATATGAGACGAAGTACAATCTCATGTTGGGAAGAGTACAGAATAAATTTACTCGTTACTTGCTCGTGTATCCAACATTCTTTGTTTTGGGCATGGTGGGATATAATCAGCTCAGTGTTAGAAGAAGGACCTGGGACGCAACTTCGTTACGTACTTGCTCAAAATTTTTGGAGGAAAAGGATTTAATAAAAAATCACTGAGTTAGTAGTCATTAGAGCACACCAACCTATACTGGAGCAACATGGTGGGTCTAATTAATAAAAATTATAGAAGAACGTTTTTGATCATAGTTTTGACTTAGAATGTTTCGCATTAAAGGCTGCGGAAGCTGTATTTGCTTCCACCCGGAGAAGGCAGACATCTTCATGGTGGGCACGGAAGACGGTATGATCCACACCTGCTCGCTCAAGTACAACCGGAATTACGTCAATTCAGTGCAGGGGCACCACATGCCGGTGTACAGGATAAATTACAATTACTTCAATAATAGCATCTACGCGTCCTGTTCGGGCGATTGGAGGGTCAAAATATGGGAAGACGGCAGAGAGTACGTGTGTTATCTATCCAAATTTTAATAAAGTTATTAATATCATTTGAATGAGCCATTGAACGCTGTTCATATAATAATATTACTATGGAATTGTATTACACAGTTCTTATATAAAACTTAACGTCAATAAAAAACTTAACGGTTTAAAACGCAAAATATATTCGTTAAACTTATTGCAAATTTTAACAACGGCCCGACGTTTCTGATGCTTTGGAGCAGCCGTGGTTATGGGGGAGATTAAAGATGAAGTGCCTTCCTAGTGACAAAGTAAAGACTAAGTAAAGCTACGCCATCTGTTTAGCGTAATGTGGTTCAAGTGGCGTTTTAGTTAATCAAATAAGAAGAACCGATAAACTTATTTAAGAAAAATAAGTGAAGCACATTAGGGGCACCCTCCATTTAGTCTTTTGCAAATAAGTTTAACAAGTACATTTCCATATTAAAATGTTAAAAATTGATTCATTTAAATGTGTACGATTCGCGTAAACTGGAGACAGTATGAGAGTGAAATAAGTTTTATAAATAATTATATTTCTGTTTAGCGAACCCCTGTTTATGTTTGAATTGGGCTCACCGGTTGGTGATGTCAAATGGGCGCCGTACTCTAGTACGGTATTCGCCGCATGCACAGCTGATGGAAAGGTAACCTAATTTATCTCGTCGCCAAAATACCAAATTTTTACTCTAAACTTGATTCCTTAGACTTAAAAATTATTCCTATAAAGTTCAACTGTCTTTATTAATCGAAATGTCTATAGACAGAAATAATTTTATTACATTAGGAAGATAATAAGTAAATAAATGTGAAACGACGAAATCTAGCTTCAAGATAAGCTACTCCTTTTATCGACGATAACTTCGAGTTCGAAAATATTGTTTTAGTATTTACTGTCTAACCTCAATCTGCTCTGCCCAAACGAAATTGTGCTTTTACGAGCTTTTTCGTTTCATTTATTTTTCAATTTCTTTTTTTTAAATTCTTAATCTATTTTGTTAAATTTGCACTTATCTTCATTACGTTAGAATAGGCCGGACCCTATTAAAATTTTATTACACAAGAATCTAAAGGAAAAAAAACTAAATTTCTTAAGGACAATTTTTAGAAATGTTCATTTGTACTTAGAAAGGTGCTACTATTGATTTTTGGTATTTACAAACCTTGGTGTTAATTATTTATATAAAAATCATAGATCCAAAACTAAATCTACCCAATAATTATTATTGCGCATTTATGATTTTATCTTTTTATGTACGAATTATCAAAACTCCCCACTACCCCCTTGTATATAAAATAAGATAAGACTTTACCAGACCCCCAAATAGTCTTACATAATAAATCATTGGCCAACTCGTGGTCAATTAAGAGTTAATGGACAAGTCCATATTTATATTTACCAAGAAAACAGACCTTAGCGGCTTACATTAGCGTTATTATTATATAGATATATTGTTTCAATTACAGGTGTATGTCTACGATTTGAATGTGAATAAATACCGACCTATCTGTGTGCAAGCCGTGGTTTCCAAGAAGACTAAGAAATTGACTAGGATCGATTTCAACTCACGTTTGCCGATCGTAGTCTGTGGAGATACTAAGTAAGTTTATCAATTCATTGCAGCATATTTTTAGTATTATTGGTTAGGTAGTCCCCCCGTGACCATGGTTGCTGCACTTCAACCGTCACGTCAAGCCGTATTTAAATTTATAATAAAATAAGCGAATAAACAAAATATTTCACGTTTTAAACCGTTAAAACTGTTTTATTTAATTGCGTAAAAGACGGACAATAAATTAATGGTTATTTTAACATAGTAACTAAAACATTACTACAACCAGATTTAGACATTTTTTAATAATTACGGAATCAATATGAAAAACTTACTTAGTTAACTTACTTAGTGTAATGTAATAGATTATGTTCAACTTTTATAATTTTTTATGCAACTGTTGTATATAAAATTATACTGCTTTGCAGAGGAACATGTCATGTGGTGAAGTTATCGCCAAATTTGAGGGTTATGTGTAAACCTCCTAAGAAGGCGCAATCTGTCGACCAACGAACTTTACAGGTAAGAAAATAAATTATTCCAGAACCGCTGTAAAAGTAGATAATTCTACTTATGATCCTGATTGGTTTAACGCTTCTTTGTAAATGTAAATGAGACCATTAATTTATTATGTAAGATTTTTTATGACATTCCCTCTATCATAAGAAATAAAAAGATTAAGAGCCCTCCCCCCCCCTTTTTTAAAGGATCTCAACGAAAAAGAAAACATGTGTTTTTGTGTAAAGGTGCTAATAATTTTGATTGTGTTAGTAATAAACTTTGGGTTTTATCTTAAAATCATATATCTAAAAAACTTCACCTAATATTTACAGTCCAGGGGCACAAACCACACTCAATAATAATAATAAAAACTAAACTTGCGTTCTTACGTAAGAAGTATGAAGACTTCCTCCCCCTTATAAGAAAGAATAAGACATTGTCGTCCCCTCTCCCCCCTAATTTGTCACGCTTTGTGATCGACGCTTTGTTATGTAAGAACTATCAAGACTTCCCTCCCCTCTCAACCCCTTGTAAGAAAAATAAGCCATTGCGGTCCCCCCTTACCCCACCTAATTTGTCTTACATAGTAAATTGATGATAAGTAGTACAGAAATGTACCAATAGCATTCTTTATTTTTATTAATATTTAACCATACTAGATAATGAAACTGGACAAACTACTGAGCTTAGTAAGAGACCCACCTTTCCAGACTGGAGTTGTTGACGAGAAGTTTGACGACGATTAAACTTCCGCCTTTTGTTATTTAGTTTTAACTATTGATTACTATCCAAGAATGTTATTGAAGTGTTTCGTTAAACTATATAAATGAAGTTAAAATATTGTACTGTTTTATTTCTAACTATCTGTGCCCACGGCACCGTCTACGTGGTTTGACGGTTGGAAACATAAAGAGATCTCATTACGGTTACCGACACAACTAATATAAAATTATTGTAGACCAGCCCAGTAACGAAGTTACACTCAAACTTACTTAAATTTCTTAATCTTAACTTATGCTTTACTTAATGAAATAAACAAAACAATTACAAGTACTTTCAGGTCTATAAGAATTGCATAGTCTATATTATTGCAAACAATATTTATAGATTATTTATATAATAGCTGTATAACTTTTTTTTACCTAGCTTGATGGGGCTTTAATGAAATAAGTGTCCGGTTCTCAATTCTAGCTTTAAGACAACCCGGCAAAAAGTAGGTAAGTAAAAATTGTGTACTGAACCCTATAAAGTTTAATAATAATAAATAATTTAATAGTATTTTGATATTAAGTAGTTACATAGTTCAAGGTTTTATTTGTATACGAATTCTATTATTAGATTGTTAATTACATTTTCGAGCGTACGGCAATCAGTTATTTTGTACATTTATTAATTATATTAGATTTCATGGTTATTCTCTTAAACTCCGTGCTTGGATCGAATTATAAGCCGTCGGTTCCGGTAATCATCACTAATTCATCACGCCAGCACATATTTGACCAGAATGCTGCGTCTATTCCTTTGAACAATCTCTCTTATGAGAGGAGACCCGAGCCACACCCAAAAGACTTGGACACAGAATATTGGTGTCGACGTAAACTCGATTTATTTGTGTTCATGAGTTTATTCTTTTAGATACAAGAGTCACAAAGATACAGATATATGCATGTGCCCCCTGTAGAATTAATTCATTAATATTTATTTGATATCTTGGGATAGTCTTTCGAATCGTCATTTTTCTCAATGTTAGTTTTATATATAAGGAGATAAATGAGAATAGAGAGACGTTCATAAATGAAGAATACTAAAATACAGTTTTTTTATTAGTAACTAAAGATAGATTTAAGTTAAGTTAGACCAGTGATTTCGCAAGTCTATGGTATATGTATTCGTCTACCCTAAGAAGTAAATAAAATGTAATAATTATTGTTTATGTCAAAAGTTTTGAGTATATTAATGGGAAAAGTATTTTAAAACACTTTTGTAAAGGTTACGTCTCAAAAGGGTCCGAGTTTTTTATCATGGCAATACTAAACGATTCCTCTGTCATGTTGATCGGGCCCAAATATTACCATAGACTATAACATACTGTATTAACTATTATGTCTTTAATGTTTATTATTAAATAAAACTGCTACCCACATAGTCGTGTAACGTGTTAGTCGAGAACTTGGATTTAACATTAATTTAAGTAGTAAATATAAAACTGCAATGCATATGTCTGAATTCGGAAACACTCGGCAGCCTATTGACTGCATAAGGCGAGAGGCAATTTTAAGAATAAGGCATTTCAAAGCCAAAACAAAGCTAGAAATGCAGATGATAAAATTGAAGGTAATTTTCACAATTTTTTAAAACAACAGTGAGTTTAGCAAGCCTTATGTATACAAGTTTTATAACTTTTTGTTTACAGCTGGAGTTAGCACTAATTAAAAAGAGATCTGCAAAGCTCGAGGTGGCCACAAACAAGATACTCTTAGAAAAAGCTCAACTTGAGTTAGAGGAATCAAAAAAAAAAGCTGTAATAAATAATGTTTAATACCAACATGTATTTTTATATCAGGTAAAAAAATCAGTGAGCAATAGTCTGGTTATAAAATAGCTGCTCCCTGGATTTCCTCTTATGTAGCACTTTTTTTTTGTCTTTATATCTACTAAAGTATATAACTTAACTAAAATAATTGTATAAGGTCATATAGTACTACTTTTGTCTATTTTTACCACATTTCCTACTTGTTGACTATGAAACATCCTCATGCATACTCCGAATGTTCACTCCACAATGGTTATTGTTCTTGAATTTTGTAGTATTTTTTCTGAGTATTTGTATTGGGTAACAAAAAAGGTATAATCGCAGAATCTCAGTTCCAAGCCTAACATTCGGACAACCAAATTAAAAAAAATAAACAAATTTGGACTTAAACTCGAACATTTATGTAAAACCATTGATTTCTGTAAACCTCTTCAGTCACACCACTAACTGGTACTTCTAATGTAATTGCAATCTAGGAAGGAAATATTCTCATATGATGAACAATTAAAAAATACCATGCATGTACATGTAGTCAGAACCTACTCGATAACATCCAGTTGTATTGAGACATAACATAAAAAGTAGGTACCATGCATGATTTAGGAGCGAATGGTGAAGAATTTTTTGATTTTTTAAGATTGTTTTTTTTGTTTACATTGGTTGTGAAAGAGGAGAAATCTCCAATTTTTTTCCCCTGTGACTGTAATATTGCCTTGCTCAACTTTCTCTGCCTTCCTGCATGTAGAAGAACTTTTAAATGACACATTATATATAGTAGTAAAATAAAACACACTCGGAACAACTTGCATGCTGATCCTAATCAGTAAATCACAACTTTCATGAGAACATTTGTTTAAATAATAAATTAATACATTAAAAGGTTCAAATCCTTGGTAGGAGCCTTTTATATATTTATGATGTTTGGGGTCAATTACTAGGAATTTAATGCATTTAGAGAGAAATTTAGATACCCTCCAGTGAAAATCGCAGTTACGGATTAAAGGCGCCTGCTTTCCACGCGGTAAGGCCCTGTAGCTACCAACGTACATGATTAATACAAATGTCTACACTTTCTTAGGTAAACCTAAATCAAAGCACATATATTTTCGTTAGAATTTGTCACTGCAAATAATACATTCTATTTTTATTTACAACACATTTTATAATCACAAACATTTATATAATATATAACATACGTAGATACATAAACTGCGACACTTATTTGATAATGACATAATAATATAGATTTTCTAAATTATAAATACCGTCCATTATAGTCCACGTACACACATAGGTAGTCCTATGTGTGTACATGGACTATACAGTTCTCTCCAAACTTTTTGGCCAGGCTGAAGTTAGCGCGACCGCTATCATGTGCATGGCACTGTCAATTATAACCCCATTTGTCGCAACTGATAACCGGTTTTTTGCGTTCTGCGGAACCATCCGCGCTAACTTCAGCCCGGCCAATAAGTTTGGAGTGCACTGTACTCGTATGTTAATACCTCGTTCGTACTGTCACATTGATACCTATATAATATTTATCGCCACAAAAAGCTTAGTTAAATTTAACACAAGTGCGTTTCAAATTTGATACAACTATGTAAATAATCAAGTAAATCGATTATGTTTTGCTAAAAATTCTAGGATTACAGGTGCTAACTTATCCGCATTATTAATGTGAATATGGTGAGTACCTTCTACGAGGTGGCTTTCATAGTGCGGGTTATTTTCCTGTAGTAATTTCTGTACTTTTAAGGGAAAGCCCTTTGATAGAGATTTGTAGTGAGAGTCTTTGGCTCTAAAATATAAAACTGGACATTTTACACGTCTCATGAGCAGCTCTAAGTAGTCATTGTTCTCAGGTGTAAAGGAGCCATATTTTACTCTTATGTCTCGGCTGAAAAAAAACTTTCCCGGATGTTTCGTTGACGGCTTAACTCCTTGTTTTACCAGATACGGAATATTTTCTTTAAGAATCGATTTGTCTGCACCCAGATACCATTTTTCTATTATTTCCTCCATGGTATACGCCGGTGGTTCGGATGTGGGCTCAAAGGATTTGCTGAGTTGGACCTTTTTCAGTCCGAAGATATGCATTTGAAGACGGATATTAATGTCCATATCTTCATAGACAAAATTTTCAACGGACATAACCATATCAACGTCTTCAGGAAATAGTCCACAGTAACGTGCGCCCCCTATACTGCCCATTGAGTGTCCCAAAATTGATACCTTGTCCCACTTAAGATATTCCTTAATTGCTTGTATGCATCGTACTATTTCCCAGGTGTCATACACTATACCTGAAAAGTATAAAATATATCTACTGAGTAGGTAAGTATTATAGAAATAAACGATTCATGCTAAAATACATTTTTTTGCCGCTTTAACGTTGTTTTAGTTAATAATGCCTAATATATAATATAACAAAATCTAATCTAATATATTTATTAACAAAAACATAGCCGACTTCAAACAGTAAACTATAAAGAAATTATTTATATTTTTATAGACACTACTTACCAACATAAATAATTGATAATGATTAAGATTAAGGCCGTATTTAATTATTATTATAATGTTAACAAAATGAAAAGTGTATAAAATGAATGTCGTATTTAATACGTTACTACGTTAGCTTACATCTTTAAACAATAAAAATGCTTGGGGGGTTTGAAGGCACCCGCTTTATCAAGAAAAAATATGTAGTGCACTTAAAGTACGTGAAGGCTGTAAAATAAAACTTGGCGACAAAAGGAGTGGCGGCGAGCTTCCTGCCAGATCTTGTCGTTCGTTCTGCGCCTTGATTAGTAAATGTAAATTTAGAGGTTTAGTTTTTAACTGGTGTGACGTTCATAAGTGTACCTAGTTGAATATATATGTATATTTTTACTTAAAATATATATGCATGTTCATTCCGTACAAGCATTCTAGTTTTAGAAGTATTCTGACCTGGTGGCAGCCACGACGAGAACCCATGACCTGGCATGTCAATAGCGAGAATCGGTACTTTATCGGAGATCAAAGAAGCCAGTGGGTCCCATACCCCACAGTTGTCTTGCCAGCCGTGTATTGCTAGGAGCGGTCGCTTATTTTCATTTCCCCACAGTTTTGCGACAATGTTGCCCCACGGTACTGGTATTTTGACTTCCTTGACGGGTATCTGAAAACGAGAAAACGAGTGGCGACTAGCGTGATGTATATGAAAAAATGTAAGTGTTTTTAGAGTCAAAAAAATGTAAAATAACTATTTAATATATGTATTTAGTAGCTTGGAAGTTTTGTTTGGAATCTATTATTATATGAAAAAATGTAGGCGCAAAAACATAAAGTGACATCAAATCTACTTCCGGTTTGTATTTTAGCTTTTAAAGGTACCTGCTGCAAAATATATTTGTTTAAAAAAAATCTTCAATCTAGACAAATAATATATATACCTACTTAAAATTTTAACTAGAACATTGTCGCTGCTATTATGTAACACGTGAATTTCCACGCCAAACAACTGCCGGTAGCTAGGACCTAGATGATTCTGCGAATAAACTGTTATTTAAAAGGTACTCACTGTTTTTGTATGTAGTCCCACGGATATCGTTTTTCGAAAACATTTCAAAATTGGTTGAATCGATTTCATTTGATGACGTAATACCATTTTATCAAAAATTAAGGTCACTGTAATTGTAATATTAATTTTGTAGACAGTTTATAACATTAGGTAAATCGCACAGTGGAAATGATTTATAAATACAAAATTTAAGATCGACCGCAGGTGGTAAGAGATTAATTCTAAAAACATTACGGCTTCTTAAATTTAATATATATTGTAATATGTGCTCAAGAAACTACTAAGATATAAATTTTAGGGTTCCGTTTTGGCAACATAATAATATTCCACAGACATTATTTGAGGCTGCTAGAGGCAGAGTGGCCTAACAAAAAACACGATTTTATAAGGCGGAAAAAAAAGCGAATTAAAAGGCGAAAAAGAAATTGTACTATTATTTATGTAATAATAATGTAAATAATTTTCGATCACTGTGCTCTTGTAGCCTTACCCTTTTTAGACTACCTATAAAAATATAAATAAGGCAAGTCATAGAATTGCAGTTAGGTTACTCTGACTCTAGCCTCATATTAAATAATAGTTTTAATGCTAAAAGAATTAGCAAACCTTATGAATAAAAAAGTGAAAGAACCTATCAATGTATCGTCGACACTACATCGATATCTGTAACTACAATAATTAAAACAAAACTCCTACCTTATTGGGTACGGACCCGAATTACACTTTTATTGAACTATGAAACTTCTTATCATAGAAATGGTTATGAATATTGCGTAAACATATCTTTAATTTTATTTAATTTATAATTAACACATTCTCATGCTAGATATAATATCTAGGTACATGCTAACTCTACACACTACTTCTGTCATACAAATATTGTATTACACAATTTGTTAACTTTAAAGGTATAAATCGTAGAAGGGAGTACATTAAATAATATTTTAACTGCGCAGCCAGGGTTAATGATAGTTTTTGTTTAAAATGTTGTTCTCATTCTACTAAAGGTCTAGGCTGTATTTGCTTCCACACAGGGAAGGCGGACATCTTCATGGTCTGGACGGTCTTTTCTATACTTGCTCGCAATCTAGACACGCGGCAGCGTGGTAAGCCAAGTTCAAGCGAGGGCTGACTAAGCAGGGCTAAGAGTATGTTATCACGAACCATTTGGTGGAACTTTGACCCCTCTGTAACTTTAAACCTATTTAACGTAAACACATGAAACTACTCTATTTCTTTGCTTTTTGGATGTATACAAGAATTGCTTGAAGCATACAAGATTTGGCTTGGCCGGTTATTATCACAATTGAATAACTTTATAGAATGACGGATTTAATGAAACCTAGCGAAGTCAAATGTAATTTACTTTAAAATTTTCCATTTTTGAAATAACAGCAATTCTTGTATAAGTATATCCAAAAAAGGTAAAAAAAAAATGAGTTTATTACTTGTTAATAATATTATTTTGTTTCTAGAAGTACATACTTACTTGGATTTTTCATAGAACTTGGTACCCATTTAGGTCTCCGTTCTTTCTACGGCGAAGCCAAGCATAATTTTTGTATTGAACTTGGCTTCAATTTTTTACATTTATCAGCTTGGTGGGATATAGACTATAGTACACCTACGCTATCCAGTACAACCGAAATTAATATCTGTCCGAATGCCGGTTGACAGGATCAAGTACTATACTTGATCTATGGCATACTACAACAATAGCATCTATGATAAGGGAAATAGAATTGAAAGACGGCACAGGTTGTGTGTTTCATTCATTAAATAATTTCAATGTAATATTATTATAAGAAATTTAACGATGCGATGGTCAAATGTTATCGTTTTTCTTATATCTTTGTGTAAAGGTCACATTTTTATATTTAAAGCCTACTAATTGTTAAATTTAACATTTTTTTAGTTGTAGGTAGTTAGAAATATTTTTTTTTAAGAAACGGCTGTTCCTGCTTAACCGAATTTACCTGGTGATCTTAACAATGTAATAAAGAGGTGTAGTGGCCAAGATTCCATATTTTAGCTTAAATTACGTAAATATTTTCTTTGTACATACCCAATTAAGAAATATTTAATAAAATTTTAGGAGGAAAACTGATTTCCACGTGGCTCAGTAGGTAGACAAAAAAATCGTGCATTTGAAAACTAAACATTTAAACTAGACACTGGCTGTTTTGAATAGTATAAAGATAAGTGATTTATATATGTAATCTAGCTGTAGGTACCTAAGTATGTAATCCATCTAGACATAAATATGTAATAGCTTTTTCAATTACCTTTATTATCAACGCTATTTCAAAAATTATAAAAGTTCGAAAATATTAATTAAAAATCGTTTATAAGTTGAAAAATTTACTACAGGGGCAGACAGGTGTAGAAACGGTAACTTAGAGCAACATGTTCAACTGTTGCCGTTTCTACACGTCATCGTCGATTTTAACCCACTGATACTCTCGCGCATATATAGTTTTTATACTTTTCCCCTGCTAACCTGAATTTGCTCTGCCCCAGTAGAAGAATTTGAGTTCCAAGTCACGGCCGCGGTCATGGTCAATTAAGTATTAATTTGCAAATCCATAATATTATTCAAAAAAAGAATATTACGCATAATATTATAATAATTATTATGAATGGAATAATATTATAACCGCAGATGTTCTACGATTTAAATGTGAATAGATACCTACCGACAATGTTATCGTTTAGACTTTAGTGGTGTAATGATAGCAACTTCAGGGTTCGATCCCTACCTGCTAAGCCCAACATTTCTCTAAACATTTTACATGTGGTGGCATGTATATCGATTTTTGGTTTGGTGGTTTCCGGATATCCAAAGCAAAATAGGTCGACTCCGCCAGCTTGATAACATGTTATATCGAAATACTGTCTAAGTTACGCTAGTACAGATTTTAAAACCTTTAACGGATATCCAACGATTTCCGGTCTCCCCCCTGAAATCGATTCGATCGTAAAATAATTTTCAAATAAGTTACTAATATATCGCGTTTTTAGTGTTTTATTGTTATATGGCTGGGGTATTTTACCTACCGTCAAGTAAACCTCACACCCCATGTCTGTCCTCCCTTATAATAAAAAAATTGTAAATATATAAAAAGGACAATCCTATCATGTTGATATGCCATCACTATTTCGAACAGTATCCCATCGCCTCCATAGCTCAGGGGTTAGAGCACTGGTCTTGTAAACCAGGGGTCGAGAGTTCAAATCTCTCTGGGGGCAGAATGTATGTAAGTTTTTATTTAATGTAAAATACTTTTCTATTTAAAAATGCTATTGTAGAAAGTTGTGCTGTTCGTTGATTGACGCGCTTGTCTATTTGTTTTTCTATAAGTATCAGGATAGCAATAAAGTTGGCCATCTTTTATTTATTTCATATTTAAAGGTACGTCAACAGATTATAACATACATTAATACAATATGATTAAAAATTTTAAAGAACAGCTATTAATAGTAAGTAATAAAAAAAAATATAAAGTATTATGAGATGGGGTGAAAACGTATTTATGAACACTATTTTTAAATCCATGAAATCGGCAAGGTATTGTTGTAATTGAAAATATGTTTTTTATTAAATTACAAATAGAATTGGTCATGAAGAAATAACACAATTGTATTAGTATTATCTGTAGAGCATGCGAGTAGCACACATTTAAATAAAACACTTTCTACGGTAAAACGCGAAATCTATTATTTATGAATAATTCGTCAACAAATTCAACTAATACATTTTGCGTTTAAGACCGTTCAACTTGTTTAATTTTAGCATATTATTCATCAGTTCCTAATAAGGAAACGAGTCAGACTAAGTTAATGAGAGATCCACCTTTTCAGACTAGGATTGTAACTTACTTATCTTTAATTGTTATTTTTCACTGTTACGTATTTACCTAAATGAAAGCCGTTCATATTTTTTACCGTTTTATTTCTGATAAAGCCTCAAAATAGTTTATCTTACGCTTAATGAAAATGCTATATTGATGTGTACTAGTGGAGTATATATGTATGTTTTATTGTCAACAAAATATTACAACGTCTGCAGACGTATGGTACGGTTAGTTTAATACAACAAAACGATATAAAAGCTTGTATGGTCAGCAAAAAAGTAATCCATGCTGGTCCATATTAATATTTCCAACTAACTCTTGAATAATTTTATAAACTCTTATGAACATAAACAGCGTCATTAGATGACATCTTAAAATTAATTAAACATTCGACTAGATTTAGAGATCCACTTATTACGTTAAACATATTCAGTTATATACGATACCATTTGTACATAACATTAATTACAGTCATATGTAAAAATGTAATAATATTAAAATTAACAATCATATAATTAAAAGCCATTTTCAACAAAGAAGAAATCATATTATATTTAAATAAAACACTTTAACGGTTTAAAACGCGATATATTAGGTAAACTTATTTGAAAATGATTTTTTACGGGGAGACACGTGACCACGACTGCTGCAAAGCATCCGAAACGTCGGGCCGAAGTTAAAAATCATTTTCAAATAAGTTTTACTAATATATCGCGTTTTAAACTGTTAAAGTGTTTTATTTAAATGTGTACTACTCGCCTAAACTATAGACAGTATTTAATAATATTATAAATTAAAAATGTATTTGAATTAATGTTACACTTTAATGTTTTTAAAATGGCGTTGTATATATTAAAATCCGTTTCGTTTGAAAACAATTGCCTACACTGGCGGGACTTGAACTGTCATCTAAAGCAGTCCTAAACGGGAGCTCACTTGGTTAAAGCAGCATGAATCTCTGTGGATGCCTGTTCGAGTCCCATTGTTAATATTACAATCTAAAAAAATAATAACTTAAGCAATGCCATCTCAAAAATATTAAAGTTAGTAAATAGATTTTTAATTTATAAGAATAATTAAGTTTAAATAAAACATCAATTGAACGGTCTCAGTTAAAAATGTCATTATTTCTTAGCAAAATTAAATTTTAGTACAACCACTGTGATACTGATACAAGTTGAATACTTGAAGTTGCAATGTAGGAAAAATAAAAAAAATACTTCCTCCGTTTCGCATACACACTATGGACATATGGACATACATCTTTGGTAATATTAATACTGCATATATTGCTTGTGTTAAGGGTAAATAAGCTTAGGCCCAATTTTCTGGCACCTCTCCAGAGAATTGGCACCCAATTTGAGATCGAGGAATGCGCGTGCGTCGTTCGGTGCCGGTGCTTGCCGGCCAGCGAATTGAATCTGAAAAGGGTTTTTTTATGATAGAAGAGAACAGAGATGTTTGGCGATCACTTGAGATGAAATAGGGTTGAATAAATTTGCCTAGCAGAGGGATGTGCCGTCAACTTATTTTGCCTTTGGAAATTTGGATACCACAAACAGAAACCGATATACAATTAAGGTTCTTTTTTTTTGATATTCCCACCCTCCATTTTTAATCCAGGTTTCAAAATGAAGGCCAAGACGTTTTAGAAAATTATAAATTAATAAATAACATGTTGGTTAAAAATAATCTACAGATCAATCTGTAAAGCTTATTTTGTATTTTAATTATTTTTTTAACGGTTTAAAACGCGAAATATATTAGTCAATTTAAATAAGGCCCGACGTTACAGACGGTGAGGTACCCCCCTTTACAACGGCTTCTACAAAGCATCCGAAACTTCGGGCCTTAGTTATAATAAATTGACTAATATATTTCGCCTTTTAAACCGTTAAAACATATTTAAACGTGCATTACTTTCGTAAACTACAGACAATGCATGCTAATAAGTCTATACCTGAGCAAGTGGATGCAAATGCCTCTCAGGAAACTCCCTCTGATGAGCCATGACCCAGTCAGCCGGCCACATCGTACCATTCCTTTGTGAAAAGGGCAGTATAAGAACGTAGACTCTGTTTGTGGCGGAATAAGCGACTCTATAGTAGTGGCCCTTTGTCGCTCTCTCCCACACGAAACCGTCGTTGTCTGCTCCTCCTCGCTGAAGCCAGGATACTCGAGTCAAGTCAGCAGCATGGACACCTATCTCCGCATATTCCGCCCAGGGTAATAGATCACCTCTGAAAGTTTACTGAACATTGAATTGAGATAAAAGTTCAAAGCCAAAAATAGCGCATCTTATATTAGTATGAATAATTTAAAATACGATTTCGCGAAATCTCATGTTTTAAAATAAATGACTTTGACGGTTTAAAACGCAAATATATTAATTATACCTATTTAGACGCACAATCTCCCGTTGACCACGTCTGGAGCAGAGCATCCGAAATATCGGGCCGTATGTAAAAATAATTTGTAAACAAGTGTTACCAATATATTTCGCATTAAAACCGTTAATTTCTCATTGCAATGTGTAGTACCTAACTTTTCGGATGTTGTCTTAAGGGTGCTAATATAGTTTGAGCTCTAAGCTGTTAAAAATAGTTTTATTTCTTGAGTAAAATCTTAAATAAAAAACTGAAACGGTTTAAAACGCGATATATATTTAAACTTATTATGGATTTTTTTTACTCGTAACCACGGCTATTGCAAAGCATCCGTAACGTCGGGCTGTAGTCAAATAAGTTTTACTAATATATATTGCCTTTTAAACCGTTCAATTACAGACAGTATTTGTGTACAAGTGCTTAAAAAGGTTAACTTAAGTTTGCTAATATAATCAAAGAGTTTTTTTTACCGTGCAACAGCACCAAGTAAGGATGTGGTTTCCAGCCAGCATCTTGCTCCTGCTTGCAGTAGGGCTCTGAGGACATGAGCGACAGTTCGCCGTATATTTCGCCTGCAGCAGGGTGGCGTGTTGCGACCAGCGAGTATGTATGATGGTGTTCCTTGTACAGGTGGATAACAGCGCTAAAACATTAAGTTCCTATGTGGTACAATAGACAACCTTCATATCAGAGACAAAATGCTTGAAATGGATATAAGTTACAGTGGAAAACTTTAATTTCATATACACAGAAGTGCCTTATATAAATTAAAAATCTATTTAGATTAAAAAATAAATTTCCCACTTTTTGTTCTATAAAATTTTGTGGGTTTAAATCAGCAAAATTCATATTAGTCAAAAAGACATTCAAATACATAAAACTCATTATACAAAGAAACATTCTAAAATTTAAAGCCAATTGTATTATTATTATATTTTCTATTGAGTACACCGATAGAAGGCCAGAAGACCAGTCTACAATATCTGCTATCCATTTCACCAATTGAGTTACCCAACTCTTAAACTGTCCCCTTCAAAACCTTTTTTGCAAAATCTTATAAAGCAGATTTGTTGGTGGTAAAACCAAATTTATGATTAGTTTAGTTGTACCTTTCTGGTAGTAAAATCCTGTTTCCCTCTTGTGGGGCACGGGGGAACACATTTTTGTGATCCGTTCTTTAACAGGCAAGTAGACTTCTGTGCCCTGCCCAACCAAAACAATTTTTGTTTTCCTGGGATTTGAACCCAGGGACCTCTCGCGCTTAACACAATGCTAAGCAATATGTTTAACCATTTGTCTACAAAGGCGATTACCTGTGTGTGTCACCTTTCTAGTATATATTATGTATCACAAAACTATAAGCCCAGACTTAAGGTACCTTTAGCGAAACTCGCAAGACAAAGCCAAGAACAGTTTCTTATTAATAACATAATTATCTTTACAATTGTCCTAACAGAATGCTTTTTCAATGTCTGTGGTTATAGCTATATTAATTTTGACTATTATATTGATAAAAAAAATCTTATCTTAATTATAAATCTACTATACAAAAGATGTGAGAGAGAAAATTATAAACCTGAGTTTCCCGCTTACATCCGTACCACTGGACTCTTCCATCATCCCTAACAACAGCCTTCACTCCCAGCTGTCTATAGAGGTTAATTCTGAAGTCTCTGAGTCTCCTAGAAGCTTTTTGTTTTGCTACTGGGGTCTTAAGGACACTTCGTCCTGAACTAAATTTACCATCTAGAATCTGTATCTGTAATATAACATTGGATATATTTTAATAAAACATTGTGATAAAGTCACTATGATATACTTGCCCTATAAAAAACAAATGATGCCTTACTTTGATCTTCCGAACAGCAGTTTGAAGATAGAGTGATTCAGGAAAAGGAAACAAAAATGGTTCTGGAAGCGTTTCCAATACTGTTGTTTTTAATAAAAGGGTATGTTGGCCTTGGACAGAATCACAAAGTTTGCCGGAAGCATCCTTACTATATTGCAATGTCCAATCTACGAAGTTCCATTTAATTTGCTGACATACTAAGCGAGAAGAACCTACTCCTACCGCAATTCCCAAAAATGGAGCACTTGTAGCAGCTAAAATTAACTGCTGAAGTAGACGACGAGAAACTCGTACGGAGTCAGGCACAAATAACACATACTCTGTGGTAATGTAGGATAATGGCTGGAGTTCCCTGGGTGGTGAGTCGAGTTTGAGGTCTAATGACACAATTTTCACATTGCGCAATGTATTATTCGACGCAGAAAACTGAAAAGGTGGGTATTGAGGACTTTGACTTAGTATAACAATTGGAATATTGGGATATGCTCCCACAAAAGATTGTACACTTTCGGCAACATCGTTTTCAAACTCTTCAAATTGGCGGAAAACAATCGTCACCAATTTAGATAAATGCTTTGTATCTCGTGAGTGTGCTGATATAGCTGGAGCTACTGTAAGAGGGGCTATGGGATATAATTTATAATGTGGTAAAAGGTAACCACACAAAATAATTACTCCGACAATTAATACGTAAACTTTTAACGAAACACGGCAGCGTAAGAATCGATATAGCATTATTTTCATATTGGGTGTACCATTACTTCAAATTATTAAGGCTTTCGTTGAATTTATATCAACAAAAAGTATTGGGATTTTTTAATCTTTGCACACAATTCCTATATTCTATAAAAGACATCTATGTATTCATAGATGCGGTAATATTTATTAACATTGCTATCGTTCAAATACGGTTTTTTGTAATGCAATTAATAATTACATATTAAATTTTGAAATAACTTTTATTTATGTTTTTAAAGGTTCCTTCTCTACCATCGACAGAGTTATTGGTTTTTTTACAATCCACAGCTACCATTAACCAACACATGACGTATGGATGCTGCTATCAGCTGTCATCTTACAGATTTGACAGAACATAGTTATAATTTAGACATTTTTTTATTTACCAGTCATCACAAATTCGGTGAAATTTAGTTTTTCGCGTATTAAAATATACTTACCGTATTAGACTATACTTCCATTCATTAGTTCATATTGTAATTTCAATTACATTCTTCGAACATGGCTGATAATACCGATTTTGAGCCTTTGGAACCTTCTCTGAGAAACGTTATAGAACAGAAATCTTTACGGTGGATTTTTGTTGGAGGAAAAGGTGGAGTTGGAAAGACTACATGCAGGTTAGATTCATTAAAAGCCTTGTCTCACAAAACCCATATGCCATCTTGGTATTTAAAACTTAGCTCTCTTAAAATAGTAAATATGTAACGCCATTAGAAGAAACTGAATAGATACACATAAGAGAAGTTTTATGAACCTATACGCTATTCGAAATAAAATCTTCATGTCTAAAAATATTAATAGCAATAGTGTTGTATTTGAAAACGCATTTTCAGGACCAATTGTTTTATTTAGGATAAAGTATAGGGGTAAACCTTATTTAGCTAATAACCTGTACAATTCTTTACAATCAAAGTTTCCTTTTTACAGTTGTAGTCTCGCTGTCCAACTTTCCAAAGTGCGGGAGTCTGTTTTAATAATTTCAACAGATCCAGCCCACAACATTTCTGATGCTTTTGATCAGAAATTTTCAAAGGTACATTATTCACTATTAACAATAAATATTAAAATTATGGCATGTCTATGTAGTTCAATTGTTAAATTCATTGTATGTGTGAAGTGCTAGAAATATAAGGCACAAGTCTTAGTGAAGCATAGTATTTTTCCAGCGAAGCTTAGCGCTAGTTGGACTACCTATTTTATTTTAAATCAAATAAATCCGTGAATAGGATGGCGAAATATACCTGCAGATTTTACACACACATATGGTAGATCTATTAAATAATTCTTTTTTTTATTATCATAGGTGCCAACAAAAGTTAAAGGCTTTGAAAATCTATTTGCAATGGAGATTGATCCAAATGTTGGTTTAACTGAATTACCAGAGGAATATTTTGAAGGAGAGGCTGAAGCTATGAGGCTTGGTAAAGGTGTTATGCAAGAGATAGTCGGTGCCTTTCCCGGTATTGATGAAGCTATGAGTTATGCAGAGGTATTGTCGCACTAACATTTATCAATTTAAACTGGGAATATTTTTTAAATTAAGTCTATAGACACATTATCAGAACATTGATTATTAAAATATATATTACACAAACAACAAGTAGGGCTAAAGTAGAACATAATCATCGGAAAGAGGTCACCAGTACAAAAATCAATCCAATAATATAGTTTACATTTTAAACTGGTACTATTTAATATAAGCGAAGTGTAAAGATACTTTGTTCAGTACAGCTAGGTGGACAAGGGCCCGGTCTACCTAATCAAGAAATAATTGGTTCGTCATCCCCTCTTTTAGCACCGCTTCAATTAAATAAACCTCCAAAATTATAAATAGCAACAAGAGTGTTAAAAAATCTTTTCCTTCTCAACATAATCTTTGAGAAGATATAAGCGTATTGTCCCCTGAGTTCCAGGGCCCTGGTGCACTGCACCACCTGGCCCTATGATGGTTACACCACTTTTAAACAAGGTTATTATAGAAACTACTACTATCAAAATCAATGAACATTTTGTATAATGTGTTTTATGATTGTACTCAATTAATAAAACACTTTTTAACACGGAAGGAGGAAAATAAGAATGTTCAATTAACTTAAGCGAAAGTGAATTTTTTACTATTATTTCTGTAAAAATTATGTTTACAATTTTTGGTCTGTGCTGTTGTAGATTAATATTTTAGACTATGAAAATATAAATAATTCAAGTCATAAAATTGCAGTTAGGCTACTCAGTGTCTCGCGGCTTCATATGTATGTTTAAAATATGTCTATCGAACAGCATGTATAAAAAAATAATTAATCTATATTACTCAATTTATTAATTAATCTATGTTATATGTTGTTTAGGTCATGAAACTAGTCAAAGGTATGAACTTCAGTACTGTTGTTTTCGACACTGCACCAACTGGTCACACTCTGCGTTTGCTTTCCTTCCCTCAAGTTGTTGAGAAAGGACTTGGCAAGCTGATGCGGTTGAAATCAAAAGTAAGTAACGAGATCTTAAGCATATTTGTTACTGATACTTGGTGACATGGTCATTGGTGTAATGTTAGCAATGAATAGCTAATCATCAACGGGTTGAGAGTTGAATGTCCACTCATTTCATTCAGAGTCCAACATTTTTCTAATCAAAATATATTATTTCTGAAACTTCTTGGATTTCGAAAACTTTATTATTTTTTACATGTTATTGCACATGAAGGCACTATATAATTTAAAGCATCTTGAGAGCAACAGCACGGAACGCTGCCGATGCCGCTTCAAGTCCTGCCCGATTCGAAATAATGTTTTAATTTATTGAAGATTTTTTTAACTTCGATTTTCTGTGGAAATCTGGATATTGATGGGTGGTTGGAATATCGAAATTGCACTCGGGTCGCAAACCGTCTATAGATGGAACACCCGTCAAGTTGAATCGCGGTTCGGTTTCTGTCTAGTTAAAAATATGTAGTGCACTTAAAGTAAATCAAGAATGTAAAATTAAACTTGGCGATAAAAGGAGTGACGGCGACTTTATTGCCAGTTCTTCTCGTTCGTTCTACGCCCTTGATTTGAGAACTGGTAGTAAATGTAAAGTTAGATTCTTTAATTATTTTGTGACGTTCATAAGTGTACATAGTTACCTACATGAGTAAATGATTTTTGACTTTGACTCTGGGTCTTCGAATATCCAATGCTAAAATAGTTTGACAGAGCAACGTCGTTGGACGGGGGTATTCCAGCTTACATCAAGAGAACCCGATACCTGTCAGTCCTCCTCTATCATATAAAATATACCTTTATATAAACTTACACAGCACTTACTTAACATTTTTTTAACAATATTCCATATTAAATCTTATAACAGAAATATAACTATAAGATAGTCAGTGGTAAAAACAAAACAAAAAACATGGTTCTAAAATCTCCGAAGTAAGCTGTCATCTGTTTATAAAATACTTTTGATTAATTAAAAAACTTTTTATACAGGTAGCTCCATTCATTAACCAAGTTGCATCCCTCTTTGGTCTCGCCGACTTCAATTCTGACATGTTCAGCAACAAAATGGATGAGATGTTGTCTGTTATTCGACAAGTCAACACCCAATTCAAGGACCCAAATCAAACGACGTTCGTGTGTGTTTGTATCGCTGAGTTCCTGTCTTTATACGAAACGGAGCGACTCGTGCAAGAGTTAACTAGATGTGGCATTGATACGCATAATATAATTGTGAACCAGTTGTTGCTAAAGACTTCCGCGCCCTGCCAACTTTGTACTGCCAGGCATAAAGTACAAGAGAAGTATCTAGAGCAAATCGCTGATCTATACGAAGACTTCCACGTCACCCAATTACCGCTTTTAGACAAAGAAGTCAGGGGTGCTGACGCGGTAAAATCGTTTTCAGAACATCTAGTTAAACCATACGTTCCGCCTCCATCGTCGTAATATCGAGACGTCACAAAATTCATGCATTACTACTACAGGTATATTTTCTTTGACCGAGTTCTTTTCACCATCAAACTCCTGTAGGAGAATATTCGTCATTCCACCCTTTTTCATCTACTTTATGGTTAAATACTGTGTATAGTTTACGCGAGTAGTAACACTTTCAAATAAAACACTTTAACGGTTTAAAACGAGAAGTTTAAAAACTTTAAAAGTTAAACTTATTGTCAGTTAAACTTGCCTCCCCGTGACCACGGCTGCTGCAAAGCATCCGAAACGTCGCGGCGAAGTTAAAAATCATTTTCAAATAAGTTTAACTAATATATCGCGTTTTAAACCGTTGAAGTGTTTTATTTAAATACTTTATGGTTATTAATTTTCGCGAAGAGGTCGCCAACTGTAACGATAAATATATTTTTGCCCATAACACTAGATAGCTAGATGTCAACAATTGGTCGTTATGTAATAGTAGATTCTTTTATCAGTACGGGGATTTTGTGCTAGCGAGTATTATTTACAAGAAGGTGTGATATATATCAATTTGTATGAATAAAGTATAGATAACTGTTGAATGTGTATTTTTATATCTGTGGAATTTTCTAAAATATAAATACTAATTATTATTATATACACATGACAAAAGTATGCCACTTTTAATAGTTTCAATATTGCAATAAAATGCAATTTAGTAAGACTATCGGTTACAAGAAAACTCGACCGAGCAATTAAAATGAAAGAAGCCTTATAACATAATATTTTCAAGAGTAAAGAGTTAGCTTACATCGAGACGGGATGCGACGCGACAAGGAGTTAGGTACATGTAGGTATAGTAAGTTGGGGGGGGGGGAGATTTTGACTTCTCTTTTTGTGTGGTCAATAAATTTACATTTTATATCATCTTAGGCTGGCCTGACTCTTACCTGGTAACAATAAAACAAAATTACATCTAAATATTTATTTGAAACTATTAACAATATCCAAAAAAACAAAAAACTTCATTGTTTGAAATATGGCAGTGTTTCAGTATAGTCTTTCCTCTGCATAAATGCAAATTTTGCATGGATCTATAAATATTAGGTACTTGAATTTCAGGTCTAAGTGTGTACAAATTGTTTCGTAAAACCAAAGACGGATCAGTTAGTTGTGATAAATTAAACTACCTTACAGGTTTTGACATACCAAATACCTGGGATTAAATATTAAAATAAATAAAGTAATACTTTTCGTCAACACGCTTTGGTGTTCTATCACTTAATACTTGTAAAATCTAGCAACCATTTATATGCAAAACTCTTGCGCATGGCAATTAACCATGTGATATAACAATTTTAAAACACATTCGAAACAAATTCATGTAGCATAAAACAATAACAGTCCAAAACGTAAAAAACACAACTGAATCAGTAATTTAAATAAAACAAATATATTAGTTAAACTTATTGTCAGTTAAACTTGCCTCCCCGTGACCACGGCTACTGCAATGCATCCGAAACGTCGAGCGGAAGTTAAAAATCATTTTCAAATAAGTTTAACTAATATATCGCGTCAACTATAGACCGTACTGAATCAGTCATTCAATTGTTCTATTTCAGTTAATTATAATCTCAGAATGCAAACGAAATGGTATCAAAAATAAAAATCCTAACATAATTCTAATAAACGTTATTTCGTCTTTTGTCAACTAGACTTGTGCTGGGATGGTAAATGCCAGGCCGTAAGGGCAGCGCCCAGAAGCGAACCAAATAAGGCAGCACCACACGCGCCATATTCGAATATCAGCTTTGGAGTAAACACCCCCCATATCATGAGATGTCTGCAGTGAATGGTCGCTGATAAGGCAGATGCTAACACCTGAAAACATACGTTATAATTTACGTGAAATTGTGATTTTCTCACATTGATTTACACTGAAAACACGTTGAGACACTGAATTGTATATAAAATTAATAAACTACACCAAATTCACTTATTAAAAACCACAAATTCATGCTAAAATTAATATAAAATCTTAAAATTTAATTTACGTAAATACACACATTAACATAACATTAGGATGGGATGTAAGCAAAATTAAAGACAATGGAAGGTAGTCCCACTGTCCCACGATTACTGAAAAGCAATACATATGTCGCGTTAAATAATAAGGACATAAAATTTAAAAAAAGGTCGTAAAAGCAATTTGAATCTTGATGTCCATAGGGGTTTCTCTTTATTCCTGTGTCATCTGTGGCAACAACTTCACTCTATAAGGTCTTCTCTATGGTTTGAATCTGGTCATGTTAGTTGTAGTCTTTTGCCAAGTTAGATTATTATTTATAAATGCACATTTTCACCTTCGACAATAATTAGCAGTAAATAAACTTACTCTTATTGCAAAGCACAGCGAGAACTTGAGACAGAGGGAAAACACAGCTGCCAATTGAGATCGTGGTCCCATCGACGCGCCGTTACGCCCCCAGAGCACTAATAGGGGCACTGTAGCTCCAAACATCATTGGCATTCCTACAGCAATGTAAGACAGTAAATAAATGCTTACAATACATAGATAAATACATCTGCCATGTTCCAACAAATTGACTAGGATTAACCCTAACATCTTTAAAAGATTTTAATGTTAATTCCATCCAATCCATGACAAGACAATTTAAGCGTCTGTCTCATTAGAAATAAATTACATAATATTTACATTAAATAAAACACTTCTTTACAGCCTGCTTCAGACGACTTTAACATGGCTGCTGTAAAGCATTCAAATCATTATGTCGTTGTTAAAAAATAATCAAATTACAGCTCAAAATATAGTTTGCTTAAATTAGGCGGTTTATAAAACTTAACTCTTACCAAACAAATTTATAGTCAGCAATATGAAAGAGATGACCGGTCCTAAAGTGCTATAGTTAGGATCTCCAGCATGGAAGACAGGTGTCCAACTGATGTGACTTAATGTGGGGTGATGGCCTGATCCGTAGAAGTGATATGACGCCACCAGTGCCCATAAACAAGCCAGACTTGAACTACTCCGAAACGATGAAGCTATAAATTAAATAAACTATATTATATCCAGTAATATTAAGCATAAAGATATATTATTTTAAAAAGATTACACTCACATGTTTTAGAGGTACCATCGCTCTTCATCATCATTGAAATCATAATGAGTATCAAAAAACCAGACAGCAGCGCAAGCGCAGCAGTCGGAGCATATGACGCCCCGAGAACTAAACAATTCGCCAAATAAAACAACAGGCCACAGACTATCAACGGTGTCGTCGGTCCGTTCCGATCTCTCTTTAACAAAAGACCGAACATGGCTACAATAGAAAGCCAAGCTACTCGCGCCAACAGCCTAGATCTATTAGGCGATCCCAAAGATCCCCAACCAACAGCCCAATGAGCACAAGTGAAAATCCCTGCAATGACTATGCCATATCCTCGCCAGGAGACCTGTCGCCTAGCAACCGCCACAACAGCAGCTACGGAACCCAACGCAATGATTAAAGCTGCCCTCGATGCTTGCCCTGTATGCAAATTATCTCCCGCCGTCCAACAGTCCCCCTGCTCCTCCCTACACCCCCTATAGGGTCTTGTCAAGGACAAAACAAAACCAAAGCCTGCCCATAGACCTAGGGCCTTAAAACTACTTATATTCCAAGCGACCAAACCCAAAACACTGAGAGCTAAATATGATAATACAGCTCCCTCTTCGATGATATAACTATTGGAAACCAAAACAGCAGCAGATGCGAATAAAGCGGACCGAGCGAAACGCTCGTAAAACAGCGTTCGGGTTTCATACCATTTTTGTGAGATTCCATCCCAGTGCAATATAACTAGCGCTCCGGTTACTGCGCCAGAAATCAAACCTGTAGTTAAAATTATCGCGCTCTCCAAGTCTTCGAAAAGCTCCCAATAATATCCCATATAGCATAGTGATACACAAATGGCTAAAGATATTAGGCCCGTAGGTACAAATGAACTGGCAAAAACGTGTGGTATACGATCCATTGGAATGCCTTCAGCTATAATCCAGTTGAAGAATATAGCTAACAACAGCAAGAGGAGCGCTCTCAACATCGCCAACGAATCAAATTCTACCCACACTTCACGGAATACGGCTCTGATGTTGTCAATTAGAATTCTGAAATAAAAAAAGGGTTTTTTTTTGTTGTTTGTTTTTTATAGTAGAACAGACAAACATGGGGTGAACTTCATGTTAAGTAAAAAACCCATCCATATAACATCTAAACAAGTTTCGCTATTGACCTATTTTGGCTTTGGATATTCAAACTAAACCAAATTATTCATTCAAATCATCTTATTTAGATATTATATGGCTGGGATTAGGATTTCACCTTCCATTAATGAACTCCATATTTATCTTCCTATATCACAAAAAGAAAGATATTATTGAAAAACAATTTAATTACTTACCTAACATCAGCAACATATTTTCTCACATCATCATGGGATTTTACATTAGCTGTTTTCTCTATTTGGTCCCTAGTGGAATTGATGAGCTCAGCCAACCTATCCAAAGATACTTGCTGGGATTCCTCACCATATCTCACCAAATATTGAGTTATCTGGAAAAAGTATAAATAGTAAAACTTTAAGGGTAACAGAACAAAAACAACAAATAGTATTTAAATAAAACACTTTAAAACTTATTTTAACTACAGCCTGATGTTTCAGATGCTTTGCAGTAGCCAGTATATATTATCCATTAAAGGGTTTTATTTAAATGTATAGTAGTAGTATTTTATTGAAACATACTTGTTTCAAATTATTTGTCATATGCAATAGAGTAGTTGTTGTTTGCATTTTAGGCAGCAAAGGCAGCAACACATTGCCTAATGACGGTGATGGGGGGGGTGAACCCAAAGCAGCACAAACAGTAGGAGCTAGATCTGTTTGCTGTATCTCTCGTCCTGGTGCTATTTCATCCCCAATCCCAGAAAATCCATTTTTGTAATATGCAAAAATTGCGGCTGTTCTTTCTGCCCTTGTCTCACCACCATGATCACCTGGAAAAGAACATATTCAGTCTAAGGTAGGAGAAATGCATGATAAAAACATATATAATGGATGTTACCTGTGCCTTTGTCCGCATGCAAAAAGTTTAAAAATTATTATAACTAATTTGGAAGCATTTTTTAATAGAGTTTTAACTATAATGTTACATAAACCTATTAATTAATATTAACTCTAGTTACAAAAAAAAATAAGAAAAATATTCCTGGCTTGGAAAATTACGGTAAGGACAAGGGACTTTATGCCCTTCATGCAATAAGATATTACCTGTCTCTGTCATACCATGGTCCCCAATAACATACAATATGGCATCAGATGGTAAAACCTCAATAATCCTTTCCAATCTTTCATTAGTTTCATTAAGTTTCCTTGCCATTTCAGGGTGATTGGGACCGTATCTGTGACCTGCATGATCCACTCCTAAATAGTGAGCTAACAGTATATTCCAATCACTTTTCTTAAGTTCTTCATAAATTTTTGAATCAACCTCTGCAAAAAAGTACCTACCTATTTTATTTATTTCACTTACAAAACAATAATTTTACTTTACAGTTAGATAGACAATATCTAGTAGTTTATGTAAGTAGTACACATTTAAATAAAGCACTTTAACAGTTTAAAACATGAAATATATTAGTTTAACTTGTTTAGAAATCTTTTTTAACTACAGCCCGACAGGCCTCGGTAAGGGGAGACAGTCTCCCTGTTTTCTTAAAAATAATTTGTAAACAAGTTTAATTAACATATTTCAGGTTTTAAACCATTAGTGTTTTATTTAAATTTACAGTTATTTATATAATAAGGCTTACTAACTAGGTACACAAATATGTTTTAAACTACTTAAGCTAATTTTAGTAAGAATAATTCTTATGGACCTAACTTATAAGTGCGCACAGCGTTGATATAGATAAAGACATTTACACTTAAAAGCATTTTATCAACTTATATGTCGTAGTAATGTTTACCTGTGTCAACAGTATCGAGGTCCCAAGTATGAAAAGAATATAATGCATGTGACCTAAGCCATCTTCCCGGTAACAAACGATCCCAAGTATCATCACCTAGAAGCACAGCATGGCCACCATTCTTTGTTACCTTGGAAATAAAAATTGAATAAGTAATAAAATATGTATTGTATAAAAAGTACATTAATTTTTAACAAATACAGACTTGATCAATTATATTGTCTTCATATAACTCCATGGCAGCGAAATTTGAACTTGCATCTACAAAAGTAGGTAGAGAGCCAGTCACCAATGCTTTTACTCGCTGAAATGTTGTTGTAGGTGGATCTGCCATGAAACGGAAAATCCGTGCCTTCTCTGGCCATTTTTTAACAGTATTATGTATTACGGGTAGACGATTCTGGTAGTACAGAGGATTTTCTAAAGCTGGATTGTACTCCGTGAAATCATACCGAAGTGCGTCGACCAAAATAAGGACAACTCTCTTGGACGTTGACGGACACACCAGCGGTGAGCCCGGGTTATTTAATATCCGCTCCAACTTTTCTGGTTCGTTACATGCGGCGGAATCACTTGAGATTTCATCACAGCCAACACTCTCAATTCCAACACATTCGGACACATCAGTTAATGTCTTACGAGATAACAAAAAGCCGTGTCCAAACATTAAAATAGCAGATAGAATCAAATAAGAAAACCATATCAAGTACAGAATAATGTTCCATTTTTCTCTCATGATTTATTATTTTATAAATCATTTACATTACCAACTGTTTTTTTAACTCTATTAAGTGAAGGTTAGAACACGTTTTATAGAAAAGCATAAAAAATCTTTTCTCTTCTTTATCTCATTATAAAGGAAAATAAATCGAAGAAAATATAAATTACAAAACGATCGTTCTACCAACAGCCATAAACATTTTTTTATAGAGATAATTGTTTTTAATATAATCCTCTGCCAGATAATGTGAATTATCAAGTTGACATTAGCGTCAGAATGTGACAATTGACAGTTACGTCCATTGTAATGTTGTGAAAACTTAACATCTAATGTTTTCATTTATAATTAAATAATAAAAAAAAATAAAAGTTTACGTGAGACTGAACACTTTATTACTATTTAAAAAGTGGTAAAGTACGCCTTCTTTATTTATAATATGTTAAGTGCGTTACGTTTTTGTACAGCATAGAAAAGGTTATCTTCCACCACAAAAAATATTGGATATATAAATTATTCGTAAAGGCATGTTAATGTATGATAGAAAATGTCAAAAGTTAACAAAGAAAACTTTCGGCTTCTGGACTTATCCAGCGACGAAGAATCCGAAGATTTGCACTTAGAAATAATCCCAAATAGGAAGAGAAAAATATCAAGGTAATTTTGTCTAAGACAAATACGTTGTTAGTTAACTATAAAAATAGATAAGACCATTTATGTTTTAAACTATTGGAATGTAGCCTAATCTAATCAATTTGTCCCTCAGAAAGGATAGAAACCGTGCAATACAACCTAGAGTAGTGGAATCAAACTTTGGTACAGAAGTACAATGTGTGTTATGTTGGGCAACAAGAGGAACATTGGTGCTGTGGTTGTTGATGCTAACATGGATTTGTGCATCCCTTTATGACCAAGTCACAACTATGAAAGTTGATATAGCTAAAGGTATGTTTCTTTCAACCACCTCTGTTGCTTGATGTTAAACTGTATAAAGTAAAGTGTTATGAAAAAGTAATATTGTTTCGATTGGAAAGGGCAAACTGATCAACTACTCAATAGTAGTAAATCAATCAATGTTTTGTGTATATTTAAATATAACTTTTTAAATTTCCTGCTAAAGACATTAAAAACTACCTAATGCATATAAAACTGTCTGGTAAATAAAACACTCATGTCTTGATATGTATGTGCTTTAATAAAGAACTATTATTACATTCAAATTTAATTATATCTTTTACAAATTTCTTAGATGTGCTTCTCTAGACAACACAGATTGTTGATATACAACATTGCCAATTTTTAAAGCTTCTATTAACAATAACAATAATTTAATGCCGTTTTTGTTTTTTGTATTAGTATAATGGAAAGGCTGTTTATGCCTATTTATATTTTGTATGCAAAATTGAATTCAATGTTTAAAAGTAAAAGTAATTTTTATTAATTTATCGAAAAAAGAAGCATTATTATTTATTGCACAATAAAAACATTGTTTTAGTTTAAAAATACCAACTATAATAATTTATTATCTGTACGGTATACCTTTCTAGCTTTATCTCGTAACGCCACGTAAAACTCCTTTAACTTACCCCGTAGCGAAATTTCACTTCCATATCAGTTACCGTATGGGACTACGCATGCGCCGATTCTTCTGTGACGTCACGCAATTACGCTACCCTAGTGCCAGGAGCCAGTCTACGAAAAGCGTTGTGTTTTACCATACATCGATGGCAATCTGTTCGCGCTTGTGACTAGATAAAAGTAAATTCAGTGAAACTTATTTCCCAAAAGTGGTTATAGTTCGGTCTGAGTTTCGAATGTCATTATTTGAATTAAGAATTAAATTTCGAATTGAAAATCGCTCATATCGATTGGGGTGTATTACGGTGTTTATTTATCGAATATAAGATTACTAAAGTGTCGTGAACCTTTCCGCGCATGCGTTACGTCCATTCACTGCGTCTAGAAACATAGGTCGATATTGTACCTTATCTTATCTATTAACATACCTTCCTAATCTCTAAATTTGTGTAAAACTAACCACTAAGTAATGGATCACCGCAAACTTTTCGTTATAATTTACGCGATAAATCGCAAAAAAATTGTTGATAACGGTATGTTTTCTACAATGAATAACTTTATGAAAACCGAGGTTAAGGCAATTTTAAACTAAGTACAAAGAAGGCACATAGTACTTTAATTTCAATTAATTTTCAATATAGGCCAAATAACTGATTTTCTAGCACCTGTTACTTACGCGTGGGAAAATAATATAAAAACGTTTTAAATCTTTATTTTTCTTTTGCAACAAAAATAATATATCATTTTTATAATTCTTGACAAGCTGAACAGTTTAAATTAATAAAAAAATATAGCAAACAATGAAAATAGCCGTGATATAGATATATGTATTGCTTTATTAACCTGAGGGTACTTTTTAAAATAATACAGATAACATCTCTTAAGTCACGTATTAACATTCAGAATGTATAAGTACTTAAACAATATCCTTTTTGAAGGACTATCTAAACCACTAGTTAATATTTTAATTCCAGTGGTAGCAATCAATCTTTCGCTCGATTTAATTAATCCATAATGACTAAGACGGCCTTCACCTGAAACGGTTTCTTTAAGTTCATTCATTTTTGTCTCCAATTTTTAATAACCTTGACATATAAAATTGTTAACACTGCCCGTAGTAGGCAGTAGCTATATTCAGTTGCGTGCAAGGGACTCGTTATGGCCCTTACACATGCATAAATTATTTACGTATCCAACGAAAGTGAAATCCTATTTTCCCAACGTTGGGCGTGGGGTAAACACATGTCGTTTTACGGCTCGTTTATATTTAGAGGCAAGTTGATCTGACCTCTGTGCTTTGTAACCTAAATCTATTTATATTATCCCTTTATTCGATCCCAGTATCTCTCATATGTAGAGCGATGCGTTTGACAACTAAGTAACATTCACGGGCTCTTAGGTGTAGAGGTAGCAATGCATGGCAGAGGTAGCAATCAACGGGCAGCGGGTTCGATCCCCAGCCCCGCATGTTTCTAATATTTCAATTTATAATTTTTTTGAAACATGTTGGAATTCGTCTGGAACTCTGGATATTAAGTGGGCGGCAGGTATATATACATTCTGTCCGGGTCCACGAACCACCGTCCACAGACGAAAAAGCCGTGAAGTTTAATCGCGTTGCGGTTTCAATCTGTGGATTTCTGAATATCCAAAGTCAAAATAGATCGACAGCGTATTTTGTTTAGATGCTATAGGCTGGGGCATATACACCTACCGCCTCGTGAGCCCCATTCTTGTCTGTTCTCTATCATAAAAAAAGGGGCAATCTATACAGGAAAGGGGTAAATTTTCATAGATTTACGATTCATTGTATGATTAATAATAATTTATTTTTTTGAATCTATAAGCTTTCGCATAAGGATGTTTTTATAATGAGATTATTATCATATAATAAGCTATTTACGTCTCTCGAGTGGGCGTTACGTATACTATATAGATAGGTGTATTCATCAAAATGAAATTTCTACTTTCTCCTTACATTGTTGTTTGTCTGCCTTTCGATAAGATAAGTTTGTTACATATGTAACTTTCGCGAGCTTTTTAATGCGTCTTTTTAATGATTTAAAACGAAGGTTAGATTTTAAAACATGGCTTATGTAGTTAAATTTGGCTTGGCTTCAAATTATATACTAATTTATTAATTTATATAGTGTATAATACCACCAATTACTGAATAATATTAATTTATAGTTTTATTGTTAATTTTAAATAATAAAGACGCACCATATACAGTAATAATTACTGCTATTCAGAGTTTGAATATAGGGAAAACGTAAACTAAAAAATAACGCAACAGCTGTCTGCCCCATGCCCAACTCTCATAAACCAGAATTTCAGTACGACAGCCATTGCCATATTTTTGTCAGCATTAATTGAATAGCGATTATATGTTGACAAAATCGGACGACACAGACAGTGGTTGAACCGGCATCCATCGCGTTCCGTGCTGTTGCTCTAAGCAATTGAGATACCGAGTCCTGGTTGGAGTAACAATACGGAACACTGTGGATGCCAGCTAGTTCAAGTCCAGCCTGTGTCGTAATTTTTCAATATTTATCGATTCGTTTATGTATATAGATGCCATCACGTGAAACATGTGAAAACCATTGAATTGATTTTCGCCACTCTCTATTTCATTTCTGAAACTCTTCAGTACTTCGTTTCGAGTACGCTTCTCGTATGGCGCGCTGTATAAAACAATGCTTTCAGAGCATACCCTCTTTTGCGTCCGGGTTAGAGCGAAATAGCTTCGTGTTTTGAGGTCAACCGAATTCAAAAGGTCGTTCTGTATTCGCTAAGTATATGTTGGAAAAGTGAAAATACATTTTCTTTATATGGGGCACGATACATTTACGCTCTTAGTGATGTTCTCCCGGGACTCAAAACTAGGATCATCCACGCTTTTAACAATTGTAGGCCGCGCGTTTCATAGCTAGCTTAATACCGAATAACTAACACAACTATAATTGAACTAAAGTATTTTGTTATAGGAAGGCGATAATTCGTGAAATTGATTAATTAAATATACATATCTATATATTAATTAATTAAATTAGATACCAGAGAACTGAATTAGAGGTTTTATTTTATTTAAGTTTTCCGATGTAGGATTATTCGCTTTTCTTCCGACGCCACCACGAGAAATTTTTGATTCGCTCAGATTGCTCACGAAAATATCACATCACTTCTTTAATTTGGAGCTAAAATCTGACCGAGTGTTTTACAATATTCGGCTATTTAGTGTACTGTTCGTATACTAGCGACCCGTCCTGGCCTCGCTCTAGTGCGATGCTGTGAACGTTGTATGTAAAAACCTTCCTCTTGAATCACTCTATCTATTGAAAAACCGTACCAAATCCGTTGCGTAGTTTTAAATATTTAAGCGTCCATAGGGACAGAAAAGTGACCTTGATTTATACTATATAAGTAGTCTTACTATTTGTTGCAAGCCTCTAGTATTTGCGTTACAATAACTAAAATATTATGCTATAAGAACAATACGAATGGTCAGAGATAAGGCGAAGACATTAAGATCGACATTGATTTATAGTGGCTGTATTGTGTCTAGTTTACGCGATCTCATTAAATAAAATATTTATATCGGCTTAAAACGCGTTATCTATTAGTTGGATATATTTTCGGCACGACTAATGTAAAACATTCAAAGCGGGGGGGTGTTAAATATATTGGGTATCGAAATTCGTTTTTGCAAACCTTCCCTTTATCTTTATTTAAGCTGTTTGTTACCCACGACGTTGATCGCGTCCCGTCCTTCTGGCAAGTAAATCTTTAACGATAGACATATAATGCCGCAGACATTTCTTTAGATTCTTTAAAGAGGAATCATTCTTTTATACATATTTTATTGGTAGCTATAATCGTTTTCTCAGCGGACGAATCGGAAACCGACAAAGATGAATATTTTTTTCCGTCTTTCCCACATTTGTCGCTGTATCTTCGCTCCTATTAGTCAGATCGCGATGTTAATAGCCTATAACCTTTTAAATAAAACACTTTAACGGTTCGAAACGTCGGGCCGAAGTTAAAAATCATTTAAATAAAACACTTTAACGGTTTAAAACGCGATATATTAGTTAAACTTATTTGAAAATGATTTTTAACTTCGGCCCGACGTTTCGGATGCTTTGCAGCAGCCGTGGTCACGGGGAGACTAAAGATGGAGGATGTCTCAGACGTCAAAGTAAAGAATTGCTACGCTAGCGCCATCTGTTCCGTCGATGTTGGTATTTGGCGAAACTGGCCGGGTCCTTACAGAATTGACTAACGGTGTCTTCGCGTTTGCTGGTATGCTGTTTTGATTTCAAAAAACACCGAAATTTCAATAGGGAGGACGGCCTCAAACTATCAAACACCTGGGATCCCATATTAAAAACTCTGGATCCCAATAAACAGCATACCAGCAAACGCGAAGACACCGTTAGTCAATTCTGTAAGGACCCGGCCAGTTTCGCCAAATACCAACTTCGACGGAACAGATGGCGCTAGCGTAGCAATTCTTTACTTTGACGTCTGAGACATCCTCCATCTTTAGTCTCCCCGTGACCACGGCTGCTGCAAAGCATCCGAAACGTCGGGCCGAAGTTAAAAATCATTTTCAAATAAGTTTAACTAATATATCGCGTTTTAAACCGTTAAAGTGTTTTATTTAAATGTGTACTACTCGCGTAAACTATAGACAGTATTTAAAAATCATTTCCAAATAAGTTTAACTAATATATCGCGTTTTAAACCGTTAAAGTGTTTTATTTAAATGTGTACTACTCGCGTAAACTATAGACAGTATTTAGCCTATAACCTTCCTCGATAAATGCTCTAACCAACACATAAAATTCAATTCGAATCCGCGTTCAAACAAACAAGCTGTGCACCTTTATGTAATAGTATAGATACGTACGTATTTATTTTACTTGAGCAAGTATTTTTAGCTTTCAAGAGATTTGACAATAAGAGATTGGACGAAAATATTAAAACTTGTTAGTCGTCTTCAATAAATTACATTAAACAGAAAAAGTTCAATCACATTTTGCAAAACAATGCATATTATTTCCTTATCAAAACCAATGCCGTTCCGCGTTCCACTTTCCTTCTCGTAGGAAAACCTTCTTGGAACGATTCCGCGTACATTAATGCCATCCTTGTATGCACTTGTGTATGACAATTCTAATTATCCATTTTCTAAGCGCTAATGTTTATTAAATTTGGTATGACATTATTACGGTTTTAGACGGTTTAGTATTAAAAAAATACACTAAAAACGCACTAACTCACCAAAAGAACGGACAGTTCAAGGCGACAAAAACTCGAAATGATTACGTAATTTCGTTGATAATTATCATAAACAAATATAAAATAACAATTATATCCTATACTTTACTATATGTGATGACAAGTTTGTAAGTTTTACATCTATAAAGTGTTCTTTTTTAAGCTAAAGTTAAAAGCACTTTAAAATTGATGACGACCATGTATTATAATCATAAGAATATCGATGTTAAATAAAATTATGTTAGTACTTGAATTCATAAGATTCATTGTATTTTGAATAATTCATTGCATATGAAGATTTTAATTTTTTTAACATGTTAATTATTGGTTGCTATACCTATATATATTTAGTCTATAATCTAATAGATAACACACTCCTATTATTGCCCAACTTATCATCATATATTAGACAAAGTATACTCTATTACCTTTTTATTGTGAGTTTCTCGTCCAAGATCAAGGCTGTGGACAACCAAACGGCTAAGTCGCCTTTCGAATGCTATTTGTTTATTTCAAGGTGCCTATTTAGAAGTACGTTATCAAAGTCACGTAACTAAACTGTAGATTAAAACTAAATACCATAGATAAATTATTTACTTTTTGATTTGCAAAGATTACGTACTTGGTGTTTTGCTATCAAATTAATCACACCATCATAATTTCTCGCATACAAGCAAATATGCATTTAAACATTGTGTTCGATTTTTAGAAAATCGAATCTACGACCACAGCGATCTGTGCTCCACCAATCGATCTATCATGTATCAGATCAGTAATCTTTATCCAAATATTTTTAACTGTAAAGAACATTTTATTGTATACTAACTTAACTAAACATTGGCTTTAAATACTGTATGTAGTTCACGGGAGTACACATTTAAATGAAACACTTTAATGGTTTAAAACGCGATGTATATCAGTTAAACTTATTTGAACCATAGGGCCATTGTTAAAATAATTTTCACATAAGTTTAACTAATATACATCGCGTTTTAAACCGTTAGTGTTTCATTTAAATTGACTTTAATTCTATATTAAAAAAAACTTGAGTAACGTCAGTAGTAGACGTGAGTTTTTATACGTTTAAGTAAATCACGTAATTCGACGTTTTGAATACTTAGCAGCAGTCGCGGTGACGGAGGTACTTACGTATATTTCGCGTTTCAAACAGTTAAACTAATCTTCGATTTAAGAATATTCAAACACAGACCGAACTGAATTAAACCATTCCAGTGACTATAATATCGATCTTCCTGTATTGAACTCGTGTTATTTGTTTACGGTGAGCCGACTACTTGACTCGCATTTGATAAACGGACATCGAGCCGCGCGGTCGTCGGAGTTCACAGTGAAAGTGTCCGGATGTGTCCGCGGTAGCGTTTCGGGTTATTATGGAGAGCGGGGTACACGCAGCGGTTCCGCTGCGAGTCGGTAAAAAGATGAGGAAGCGGCGGGAGCTCGACGCACTAGTGGGGGGTATCGGGTCGAGGGGTGGCCGGCTATTGTCCGCGTCGAGCGACGAAGGAGAGCCCTGGGGGCGACGGACGTCTCGACGTCGGAAGACCAGACCGTTTGTCCGTCTCGCGGCGGCGCTTGCGCTCTGTGTCTGTGTAGTATCTGCGGCTACAGTTCTTTGGCTGTTTGTGGACGTACGAAAACAAATTGGCTCGTTACGAGTGGAAATGGATAGAGGTAACATATTGTGTTGTTTGCGGGCTCGTTGGCCTAATGGTAGCAATGTATGGCTAATAATCAGCGGGTCGTGGCTTCAATTCGTATCGGGTCCAACATGTTTCATATTTTTCTGAAACATGTTGGCCTTCGTGTGGTATCTGGATAGGTATGGATATAATGGGTGGTATGAATATCAAAATTCCGTCCGGGTTACGAACTACCTTCCACAAATGAAAAAGTCGTGAAGTTTAATCGCGATGTGTGGAATTTCGAATATCCAAAGCCAAAATAGGCCGACAGCGCATCTTGTATAGATGTTATATGGCTGGGGTATTTCATCTCCCATCAAGTGTACCACATGCTGTTCTGTCTCCTCTATCATTAGAAAGACATCTCCATAAGTCTACAGGGCAGATTAGCCAAATTTTTTATCACGCAAATAATGTATTGTTTTCCTAAAATCAACATATAAATAGCACAGATACAAAACCTTCTGTGCAGTCAACATAAAGTTAACTTTGCATGGTCATAGTTCACATTATGCAACCACACAAAGATGCATTTATGCCAAGAAATTAACTATACACCTAAAGTTATATAACTGAGGAATAAAATAATGGTATATAATTTATGCAGTGCCTATAGTTACGAAGGTATAAACAAATCGAATCGAAAGGCCCCTGACAGTATTTGAATAAAATACTACACATTTAAATAAAACACTTAACGGTTTAAAACGCAATTTATTAATTAAACTTATTTGAGTATGAATAAAAAAAGTATTTAAATATTTAAATTCAATCCTCGTCCAACACAACTAATTTTAACAGCCTAGTACAAAATATTTTACACTAAGCTATAATTCAAATAAAATATTCAATTTTACTTTGTATTTTGTATTCCAGGAAAATAACCGCCAAAGCAGTATCAAACTTGGCTGAATTAATTTAAAATAAACCTTACTTTGAGTAAATATTGATTTTAAGTTAAACGTACCTTCTGTTTTACATGAAAATATTTTATGCAAACAGAATTATACCGTGCGGTGTACACTGTACAGTGTTTGTCGTTGTTGACTGTAAAATTCACTTTTACAGTGCGTCTGCGCAGAACCTAAGTACTAGTACATACATATTGACCTTGTTCATATTGCGCTACTAAAAAAAGCCGTTAATATTTAACTTCTGCGAGTATATGACGTCAAGGAATACCAAACGGCCATTTTTAGGTTTTTGTACAAAAAGGGCTTAATACAGTACTGTATTTCTTAGATTTCGAAGCCTGTCTATATGTTATCATACTGTATCTCAAGAATAGATAGCAATAGCTAAAGATGCAAATTATGTATATTTGTTACCGATAAAGTAAAAAACAATATAGTTGAACGCAAAAACAAACAAAAAAAAGTTTCTTACCTATTTTCGTAGATCTAAAAAAGAAGATTATTTTAATGGCACAGAGTATTCGTGTATCTGAAAACTTTAATAAATTTCACATGTTATTGCACATTTTGGTATTACATACGTGTAGGATACGGTAGCTCAATTGGTAAGAGCACGAAACGCCTTGGATGCCGGTTTCAAGCGCTACCTACCCGTATCGTAATTTTTTTTCAAATCGATTTTTGATTACCCACTGTTCTTTGTCATTCACAGTCAAAAGCATGTAACCAAGCCAAGTATTCACTAAAAATCTCGTCCACAGTGTCAACAATAGGCGGTAACGTGAACGACGACCTGCAACTGTGCCATACGACGTTCAAGGAATTAAAGAAGAATGCCAGCGCGCTCCAAGAGAGGATCGATAAGCTGGAGGTCGCTCAGCAAGCGCTGGCGTCCAAGATGAACAAGACGGCTAGCGAGCTGATGTCTGTGTCAGAACAGCTATCTGCCGCACCGAAACTCGTGGATACACCGAGAAGGCTGGCGGAGTTGCAAAGGACTGTTGCTGACTTTGGTTCGCAGGTATTTATTTTTATAATCTACTAGCTGTGTCAGCGACTTTTCACTTCTGAAAACCTCCTCTTCATCTTTATAAATTTAAGCTGTTACCCTTTGGTCGCATCCCGTCTTTCTTGCAAGTTAATCTTAAAAGATAGATATTTACTGTCGCGACAAATGTCTATCTATAAAAATCTATCTACATAAACATTTTGCGACCATTTAAAGGGGAATCACTCTTTTATAAATATTGTAATTGTTGTAAAACTCTTATAACTCCCTCTTATATAAAACCCACTAAGATGGATAATTTTCCCTGTTTCACATTTCCCGCTGTTTTTCGCTGTATCTGTGGCCCCTAAAAGTCAAATCTCCTACGCTAGCGCCATCTAGCACCTTATTTAAAAGAAAATGTCAATAACTGATTATTTTATTTATTATAGTCTCGAATTTATTTGTTTAGCTATTAAAGTGTAACTATTTATTTAATTAATCATACCTAGATATATTAAACTGAAACTATGAATAATTTTTATATTAGTTAATAACTAATCCACTTTTCACAGATCAAAGGATTTGACAGTGCAATAGCGTCAGCGCGGAAGCAGGCTCAAGCAGCCACTGCAGCCGCTGAAGACCTGAAGGTCTACTTGCTTCACTTAGAGGAGAGGACCAATGAAACGATTGCTAATCTATCGGCCACCGTTAGTCAGGAGGACCAACTAATGGCTCAATTGATGGCCTTGAATGAGACTTATGTGTACAGAATAAACGAACTGCAAGCGAAAATGGATGAGATGATCGTGAGTACTCCAATTATACGTAGAACAGACACTTTTTATGTCCGTGTTAGTCCTTCTAGAGGTTATAATTATAATATATAAAGTTATAAATAATATAAATAAATATATCTGTTATATGAAGCATTGTCTGTAGTTACGCGAATAATACACTATTTAAAATATTTTAAACGGTTTAAAACGCCAAATATATTATTAGTTAAATTATTTTTATATGTAATCTTAACTGCGGCACGACGATCACTGATGCAAAGTATCCGAAGCCTCGAGCCGCAGTCAAATTAAAAATAATTTAACTACTACTACTATATTTCGCATTTTAAACCGTTTAAAATGATTTATTTTAATATTGTATGATCTAATATAAGATATTATTAATTTGACCAGGTCTGTTAATGAATATTCATTTAAAACCCTTTAAAACAACAGAACATCTATTGTTGAGTTAAATAGTTCAGATTATAGACATACAGAGTCGTAACTGCTTTTGGTTTATTATAAAAAAATTTTTACAGAAACCACCAAAACCGGTACCAGTGGTTCCCACTGCCAGGTCGAGCTCAATACCAATTTACACTAGTACCACCACGATTCAACCAGGTGAGTTATAATTTGTACAAGATAGCAATTTTTGGGTAATAGAAATATTGAGATGTACCACACCTAGTGTTCTTTTCAATATAAAAGACAACTTTTATATGATAGAGGAGGACAAACGATCATGGGATACACTTGATGGAAGGTGAAATACCAGGCCCAGGCCTATAGCTTTTATACAAGATGTGTTGTTGACCTATTTTGTGGATATTCGGAAATCCACCGACTAAAACCGAAACGCGATTATACTTTAAGACTTATACGCTCATTATCCGGTCAACCGTATCATAGTGAAGTTGATCAGACTTCTCTCCCTGTTAGTCCGAAACTATTAATTTCCGAATTTCGGACCCGGAACCTCTCATGCTTAACAGGAACGTGTTTTGATGGGCTCGTTAGTTTAATAAAATGGTAGCAATATATGGCTAATAATCGGTTCGTGGGTTCGAACCCCACCAGGTCCAATGTGTTACACTTCGTCTGAAAATCTGGATATTTATTTTTTTATTTATTTATTTACACTTTATTGCACAAAAAAGAATTAATAAAAATATAAACTTATATACTAAACATATGGAGTGCAATGGGCGGCCTTATCGCTAACGAGCGATCTCTTCCAGGCAACCCAGATATTAAATGGTTGGTTGGAATATTAGAATCCGTCCGGGTCACGTACCAACGTCGACAGATGGAAAAGCCGTGAAGTTTAAGCGCGTTTCAGTTTCAGTCTGCGGATTTCCAAATATCCAAAGCTAAAATAGGCCGGTAGCGTATCTTCGTTAGGTGTTATATGGCTAGGGTTTACCTCAACTGAAGCCCATGTTTGTCTTTCCAGTATCCTAAAAATAATAATCTAAAGAAAACATATTAACTATTTGCTGAGGTCACGTATGGTAGTTTTATGTAAGTGACCGGACGGCCTTAATCTCTCGTATGAGCCCTTAACCGGAAGAATGAACGCGAAGACCTTTGTAATACTTCCTTAATCGTTATGGCGTTTTCATTATGGAAATTAATGATTGAATGAAGGGCTTAGTAATATTTTAAAGATTAACATTTATTACAATTTATAAGTGCGTATTTAATAATATTCAAGAAAATAACTTTATTTTGTAATAAGCTGTGGTCGCGACTTCGTTCGAGTAGAATAGTTAATATGGGACTCAAAATTTATTTTCACTGTCGTAGACATTTTTTCATATCGCGTAAAGAGGAATCTTTATGACATTCATTTTTTTTGAGTATCTTGAACTTTTTTCGCAACACACGCAACCGAATGAATATTTTCCACTGGTCCTTCGCTCCTATTGATGATATATAGCCTAAGACTCCCTCCATAAATGGTCTATCCAACACTGAAAGGGGAAATTGGTGGAATAGTCAGCAAAGGATGGGGACTGATCACCTGGCGTTCAATTGGTGTTATAATTCTGTAGAAAAGAACAATAATAACCCAACACAAAGAATGTTTCAATTAGAACTGCTAGTAGAACTAGTAGTTCCTTTTACTCCTGTAACTCAAGAGTATTATTATAATTTCATTTGCTTTATTTATTTCTATTCCAGGTCCAGCGAAACCCAGCGTCCTTACGATGAAGGAACCAGCCACGACTTAAGTGTAAGCTAGCATAGATTGCTCAGAATTCAAGCCTCAATTGCGTCCACGCGGTGCGACGTAGGTTCGTTATAGTGTTGGCGTAACTAGACTGACGAAATACGTTTTTGATAGTAGAAATCTTTAAACTATCAACATAATTTAAACAAGGATGTTTTCCTCTATCAGATAATCACGAAATCAACGTTCATAGTTTTCAATTGATCTGTGTCATAAATAAATTAATTTTAACGGTTTGAAAACAAAATAATTAAAATATTATGTAACTATTGCGTACTTATTTCATTTTCCGTTTCAAACCGTTTCCGTTGACTACTGACTATACAAGAGTGATTTTTCTATTTGTTTGTTTGCTAGTTACGCCAATTTAGTGAATGGTCCCTCCAGTGTAGTTAAAGATAGACGGGTTAAGTAGATACAGTGGAAAAGGATTGTTCGAGAAAAATGTAAAATTTAATATTTGGATAGAGCCACACTTTATTTTTATTAAAATTTTATTCGGGTTTAAAATCAAACGGCTCAACAAGTCCCTCCAACTTTGAAAATACACAAATGAAGTTCATATCTTTTCCTAGGATACGACGAATATTTCTCTTAAACGTTTTTAGAAGAGTGACAGTAAATTATTTTAAATAGTAACTAGTCTTTCGACGTTATCTCCTTTTGACCAATTGACACTTAATTTTATCATATATCAGCGTTTTAGTTGCAAAATTTGTTATATTTTTTAAATCAAAATTGTTAATCTAAGTTTCATACGCAAGTGAGGAAACTTTTGCACCAAAAAGACCCCAAAAAGACCAGTAATACTTACTTTAACAGTAACGTTATATAATTAGATCAGAATCTTAAATTGTGTTATTAAAGGGTAGGTATTTTTCTTTGGTATTGTAAAGGATAGACTTGTAAGCGAAAAGTGTCAAGTAATATAACTTATAAGCGAGATGCCAACGAATTTGATCTCAGACTAACACAAATATTACACTTAAATGCTTACTGGCCATTGATAACAGCAAATATAAAAACAGATAATTAAAAAGTATTTTATATAGAAATGACACATGGTATATAAAACCTTTATTTAACTTGACATAAACGACGAGTTAAAGATAATAATGTATTTAAACCAACAAATTGTTTGATATATAAAAATGTTCGACAACAAAACAAAGAGTATGTGAATTAACCACAGACTATGCAAAATAATTGAAATTTTATGAAGCACAGATCACGACAAAAATATCAAATTTATACAGATTACACACTGTTACGTTATCGATTATATAAAATACTTTTATAATTTTTATAAGCCCTTATGTGTAAAAACATAAAAATCTAAAAGGAATATGTATACTTTAAGTTTTAATTTTTATCATATATTATATTGATATGCGAAATCCCCTAGATTAGTTGAAAAAAGGAAATAATACTTCCCTCCCAGCCTTATACGAACTCAAGGGGATATTAAAGAAATTTGAGCAATAACTCAAAACCATTGTAAATAGATTTAATTATAATTTTTATTGAAGGTTGAGTGAAACGCACTGAGTGTTACCGATTCGAGTGTGAATTTTATTGTAATAAATTATTGTTAATAGATCAATAATTATTATAAAATTTGTTTTATTTGATATGACGTGACTCTTTTAAACTTAATTTTTACCTAACGCGGTAGCGCCCTCTTGTGGTCGATGAAGTTAACTCATTTATGGTATTCATTTTATCTTTAAAAGGATTAGTTTAATTTATCAAAGTGGCGTTAGTTAGTGAAAGGATTAGATATCTTAAGATATTTTTAAGTAAAAAAGTACAATCGTTGTTAAGATAACATTTATTTACAGGGCATACATCTCCATTTATCAATAAAAAAAAAGAAATGGACAAGGCAAATGTATAATATAAGGCGATATTAAAAATCTAAATATATATAATGCAGATGAAGATCAAAATTATTTTGCCAGTCTTAAAAATCATAAGCCGTTATTTCTTGATTAGTCCGATGTTTGTAGCGACCTCTGCGAATGCGTCAACTGCTTTCTTGATATCTTCCTGTGTGTGCGCAGCGCTTATTTGTACGCGGACTCGCGCTTGGTCCTTCGGCACTACGGGGTAACTGAAGGCTACCACGTAAATACCTTTAACTGTCAAAAGAATGGTGGATATAAGATAGTAAACGGACGCAAAATGTAAAAAAATGGATAAGGTTTTCAGAGATACACTATGTTAACGGATAATGCGATTAATATTATAAAACTATCCTGGCGCAAAACATACATTCGAATTTAACCTTATGAATAAAAACAATTAAATTTACAAAAATTATTTGAACGTAGCTTTGATTAAATAAATAGTTTTTAACAAACAAATACATTATATTTGTGCTACCTAAATAAGTTTGGTACTCTAATAAACCGTTTCCCCTTTTTAGAGTTAGAGGTAGACGAATTTTTGTATCTATTACACTAAAGTATTTTGTTGAAGTCTGAAACGATTCAGTTGAACTTACGTAACATGCCAGAAGCAAGTTCCACAGCTTTCGGGGCATCCCCGACCATGACTGGACAGATGGCGTGGTCGTCGCCCGCAACAGTCAACCCAGCAGCTTTCATACCCTCACGGAACGCCTTCGTGTTTTGATGCAAGCGCTCACGGAGTTCGTTACTGCGTTCCACTAGTTCTAGAGCCTGAAAAAACACATCCAAGAATATTCTCTAATTCGTTGACAAATACTAATAATGTGACTTTTAATAGTCCCGAAGTTGGCTCCAATTGTGCACATTTAATGATAATAATAGTCCTACGTGGACGAGAACGTTGGACACTTAATATCATTTATAAACTGCTCAGATAAAGAAATTGATCGTAAAATAAAACTGACTGGAGTAAATACTGGACTTTAAAGGAAATATTTAAAAGTAAATTACCCCCCTTTATTACAGCAAAAGCATGGAAGTGACGCTGATGCCTTGTCATCCTATGCTGGCCAAACTTGGATCACGACAAAAAGGAACCTACTCAAACTCAGGACTTGTCCACCGGATATTGAATGCAGCTTTATGGGAGTCAAACTGAAAGATCGAGTAAAACACAGCATAATAAGAAAGGCAACAAAGGCCAAAGACATCAGGATGACTTCCATAAAGCTGAAGTGGGGATGGACTGAGCACCGGCTACGAGTAAAGGACAAAGGATATTTGAGGGCGGCACACTATAAAAAAGGACCCACGAAGTACTAAGAGTCTACCTGAATCCTTTCCTTTTGTCATTTCTATCATACAGTCCACTAACCGCTGTCAAGGTACGCCCCTTTACAACTACACCGAACGTTTTACTTGTAAAGAGCGACTTAGTGAAGAGCTATCTATATTTTTATTATTTGTTAAATAACTATGCAATTTAATTTTCTTTTTAATTCGTATTTAATCAACGACCTACATTGAAAAAATGTATCTTAAATTGTATTGATTACCTTCATTGATGCAGCCACGACCGGTGGAGGTGGAGCGTTCGAGAACAAATATGGCCTAGATACATTCCTTAACAAAGTGATGAGTTCTTTAGGACCCGTTGTGTACCCACCGGCGGCACCGCTGACTGCCTTGCCCAGAGTTGAGCATATTATGTCAGCTGCACCCATAATTCCACAGAATTCTTCAGTGCCCCTAGAAAAGGAGAATAGAAAATCACTCTTACTATTTAGGTTTTTTATTCAAGGAAGCAATTTTTTGTCTATGTACCTGTTGCAAGTATATATCTTGAAGGGATCTTACCTTCCTGTTTCCCCAAAGAAACCAGTGGCATGGCTGTCATCAATTGCCAGTAGAGCTCTGTATCTATCGGCCAGTGCTCTCAAACCCTTGACTGGTGCTACATTTCCATCCATGGAGAACACACCATCGGTCACTATTAATTTCAAACGAGCTTCCGAGTGTGCTAGAAGATGCTCTAGTTCTGGAAATCAATAATAATAGTAAAGCTCTATAGTGGGAGAAGTTAAAGGCATTTAATGTTTTTAATTACTCACACGGGAAGGTTAGACAAAAACACGGAAAAGAAACGTTTCTCGGTTAATTTTCTAGAATAATTACAAATACAATGAACAGTATCTCGAAGATGTGCCTGTGGCTTCGTAAGGCCTGTATTTTTTTAGTAGTTGCGTAGTTTACGCAACTAGTACACATTTAAATAAAACACTTAAACGGCCCGAAACGCGATATATAGCAGTTAAACTTATTTGAAAATTATTTTACCCACGGCCCGACGTTTCGGATGGAGCAGCCACGGTCACGGGGAGACTAAAAATGGGGGGTGTCTCTGATGTCAAAGGCCTTTTGAAATAAGTTTGACTAATATATGTCGCTTTTTAAACCCTTAGTATTTTATTTAAATATATTTACGTTGTCAAATTTTCAGTCGTTCTGTATGATAACTTATCATTGCATACCGTTTAAATCTCTATGAGGATAGCGGAATTTCTGCGCCTTGCACAATCGGATTCCATCGATGATGGACGCATGATTCAGGGCATCAGAAAAAACCGCATCTTCTGGTGTTAACATCGCCTCGAAGAGTCCAGCATTTGCATCGAAACATGACCCATATAAGATTGTGTCTTCGCGTTGGTGAAAGTTGGTTAAGCGATCTTCAAGTTCCTGAAAAGCATCGAGACAAACTGAACAGACATACCTATGGTGTCGGTATATTGATTATCAAAAAAGGATATCGTGCTGTTGCTCTAAGCAACTGAGCTACCGAGTCCCGGTTAGAGCAACAGCACGGAACGCTGTGGATTCCGGTTCAAGACCTGCCCGAGTCGTAATTTTTTTTCCATTTATAACCGATTCTTAATTGATATAGAGCAAAATATATGAAAGATTATTCACAACTTTCTTCTTTTTAATTTAATTTAATTTTTCTTTCTTTGTTAGATGTAAGATGTGCAATATACTAAAAACACAGTAGAATATGATTTGTGCAAAGTTGAAGATCAGTGATGCAAGCGTGTTCGTAACGTTATGCTGCGTGGCTCCTGTTTAGGAGTTGCCATTTTTGAAGCCTTAAATATTTATGTAATTTGTCTATGTATCGTTATTAAATACTATTTGTAATTTACGCGAGTAGTACGCATTTAAATAAAACACTTTAACGGTTTAAAACGTGAATTATACTAACGTAAACTATGTATTTTAACTAGGGCCCGATGTTTAACATGCTTTGCAGAAGTCGTGGTCACGGAGAGACCCGTATAAAAATAAAGAAAAAATAAGTTAATTATTTACTGTTTACGTGACCACGGCTGCTGCAACGCACCCGAAACATTGAGCCGTAGTTAAAATAATTTTGAAATAACTTTAACTAATATAATATTGCGTTTTAAACAGTTAAAGTGATTTATTTATAGTTTTTAAGTTAATTTACTTAATTGTTTGTGTGCAACCTTTTTATTATTAATATCAAAGCCATTGGCGTCAATAACATACCTTATGTAAAGTTTGGGTTCCACAGATAAATCGTACCGAGCTTAAACCAGCCCCATACTTAGCCAAGCCATCTCGAGCAGCTTCGACTACTTCGGGATGATTCTGTAAATTTAAATATTCAAAATTAAATCCTTATCTAGATAATGGTAGGTTTTGAATGGGGAACTAACTAGAAATAAATATGACCTGTCATTACTACGAGCTCGAACTAATTACGGTAAAAATGGTAAAGGTTTGAGGTAAAGGTTTTTGATCTGTACAATAATGTAATTGATATCTTTAAACATTATTAAAATTCCATATTTTCGAATAAGTTAAACAATTAGTATTTTTTTTCTTGATCTAGTATGTCACTGTATCATTTAATTACCGTTGTATGTAAACACATTTAATATATATTCTTAGACAGAATTAAGATTCTTTAAACCGGAACGAAAAAAATCATACTTACAGATAATCCTAAATAGTTATTGGCGCAAAAATTAAGGAATTCGCCCTCTGCCCCCTTTACTGTCACCTGAAACGAAGTTTTATATTTCTTTGAAGCATGTTGATCTATTGGTAACAATGTATGGATAACAAACTACGCATCGTGGGTCCGATCCTGGGCTTCTAATCAATTTACAATTTCACCAAACCACGTTGGACGTTCTCCGGAAATCTGGATATTAAATGCGTCGTAAGAATATCGAAATTCCGTCTGTGAAAAATCCACAGATGAAAAATGTCAATCGCATTTTGGTTTCAGTCTGTGGATGTCCAAATATCGAAAGCCAAAATAGATAATAGCGTATCTTGTTAAAATGTCAGTGGAGAAAAAAGACCATTTCGCAATTGTTATTTTAAAAAATCAACCTTCGTAAAACCTTATACGTACAATTGTCTACTGAAGAGTAATAATAAAATGTTATTTTCCTGTTTCGTTGAGTCGTGAATTGTGGTATCTTTTATAAAAAATTATGTGAAATTTTGCTTTGTCATAACTCGCATGCGTTACTTTTGTATTTACTTCGATTTTAGTCATTAGTTTAGTACTTTTTTTAATGAATGCTTAATAAACTTAAGTACTTAGTTTAGCTTAGTCAGGACAGCATTTGTTTACAAGCGCTGATAAGAATGCATAATAAGCAGACGCAGAAGGCAAGATTTTTATACTTTATAAATTAATTATAATAATAAATACGTCCTCTTGGACGAATCACGTTAGTGTAAAGCAGTAAAAATTCTATATAGATATCCTATCTTTAGTTTAGCGAGTAGAACACATTTAAATACTGTAATGTAAAATACGCTAGCGGTTTAAAACTCGATATATAATATATGTAAATATAGTTAAACTAATTTGAAAATTATTTTAACTACGGCACAACGATTCGGATGCTTTGCTTTCTCTCCGTGACCATGGCTGCTGCAAATCAACCGAAACGTCGGGCCGTAGTTAAAATAAGTTAACTAATATATATCGCGTTTTAAACGGTTAAAGTGTTTTATTTAAATGTTAATAGTATCTACCGTTCTGTCTTGAGGTGAGGTGATGACACGTTCATGTTTCCACGTCTTGGCGCGTTTAATTTCCTTCAGCCGATCTTCCAGAACGTCACGTAATTTCTCCACTCCAGCCCGCTCCATTGATTTCAACTCGTGGATGTAACGCACTTGTTGTCCATTGCTTACTAAAGAAAAAATTTATAGTTAAGTAACAGAATGCTTAACAAAAGACAACTGTCGCTAGAATAACTCTTTTATAGAAAGTGAAGATCTTGAAATAGTGTTAATACTAAATACCTATTGTCTATAGTTTACGCGAGTTATACACGTTTAAATAAAACACTTTAAAACACGATATATTTTAGTTAAACACATCCGTAAATTATTTTAACTACGGCCCGACGTTTCTGATGCTTTTCAGCACCCGTGGTCAGGGGATAGTGTTAATGTTCTTGGTACATTATAAACAATAAATATCACATTTTTACCGTTTAAAACACGATATATGTATATGATATAGTGCATTGTTTCTTAACTACGAACGTTGAAAATCAAGGATGTATATGTTACGCGTATTAAACAGTTAAAAGTTTATTTAATACGTGTTATCAACGCCAATACGACAAAAACAGTTGATAAGTTATATAAATACGAAACAGAACCATGTGCAAATTAAGCCGAGATACACACAACATTTAGTCAACCAAGGTCATTGAAACAATTCGGAATGAGATTTTTAAATAACCGAAGAATGGATTCTTATACCTACAAGTTTTAATGAATTATTTCATTAAAATAAACACTTTCAACGGTTCATAACGCGATAAATATTATAAAACACTTTTTTAACTACGATCCAACCTTTGGCAAGTTTTTGCAGGTAGGAAGTTGTTAATATGTTTCGCGTTTAAAACTGTAAAAAAAAATATCTGTATGTACTTCTCATGTCATCATCAAATTCACTATTGTAATAACAAGTATTAAGTGCTGGAAAAGCAGGCCAAGAATTTAATTGTCGTTGGCTTTTAGGTAGGTTATCTTTATGAGCGAGGTGATAATTCGTTAAGGCTTTCTATTTTAACATCGTAATAAAACTAAAGGATAAGGGTCCTTCTATAACAACGTGACGATAAATATTACATCCTTACTACAACTCGTCACGAAATAACACAAAAACGACTTAAACACATATCTATGTTTACAAAGACCGCTCTCTAGAACCTACTTTAGCGTCTAGACCTAACTCAATACAATAAGGTTCTGTCAACACTTATCAGGAATGGTTACAGTATACAACAATCTGTTGTAGTTTATAATAAGTTTTTATCAATAATAATTTATCCTTTCAAGGATTTCCTTTCAATAAACTAAGTTGTGACTCGAACACAACAATAAACATCCAAACTTTGAATTACGCAATCTTTAAAATTAGGTTGTATTATTTACATTAACAAAATCTAGATTCAACAGCCTTCTTTAAGACTTTCAGGACTTTAACAAAGTCTTTCGGCCAGTTCGTTAATTATGTGTAAATGTATGTATTGTTATTGAAATAAACCGCTTATCATTAGTGAAATAAACAATGAAACTGAACGTACCGATGCGCAGGAGTTGCGAGCGTAAGGCCATCGCGCCAAATGCCGGCAAGTCAGGTCGGTTGCGCGGCGGGTGTGGCAGAAACAGTTTAAAACAAATTTCAGTGGCGCAATTGCTTTAATATAGAAATGCCACATTTGTTTTTTTCTTAAATTCATCATATTTACAATTTTTCCTTACTATAATCGAAAGGGTATCGTAGTCTCTTTCAAGTTAAAGGTAGTTTTATTTTAAACTAGCTGTGCCAGCGACTTCGTGCGCGTTTTAAAATATAGCTATTGTCCACGATGTCCGCGTCCCGTCGTTCTTGCGAGTTAATCTTAAAATCTTAAAAGATAGATATAAAAAAAGATAGACATATGCCGTGGCGGACATTTTTATACCATTTATTTCAAAGATCAAATAAAATAGGAATAATTCATTCGTACATGTTTTTTGGGTATCTTGAAACAATTGAGACTTGAGCCCACAATTTTATAATTATGGACATAATATTCAGGGCAAAGAAGCCTGATGAATTTTTCTGTAAAAAAACCGATTAGTGAAACTAGTTTTTTGTAATTAGTTTTCACAACTGATAGTAAAGCGTAAACTGTGCTTTCGTTGAGTTGTTACGCAGGTTTCTGTATATATTCCAACATTCATACGCGAGGTCAGAATCGGACAAAATGGCTGGCTTTATTAACTGATGTTATTGACGTCTAACTTATCTTTTACTTCAGTTTTAGCAATAGTTACCTAATTCAAACAAAATACAAACTTAAGCAGACACATAATTATATGTTTGGCTGTCATCTAAAATTATGTACAACGGATAGATAATGTATACCAAGAAAAAAGTATTTTTAATTTAATATTTAATTGGGTTCTTAGGTAAAATTTCAACGCTGCCTTCGTAGTACTTGACGTATAATTTTCGTTTATAGTCGACTCTGAAAAGTAAAACAAATTAAATATGGGTATTTAAGCGTAATATATACTTATATGAGGCTGCTAGAGCCAGAGTTGCCTAATATCCAAAGCATTATTTTCAATAAGGATGAAAATAAAAATGTGCAATTAACTTGTACTATTATTTGTGTAAGAATTATGTTAACGATTTTCGATTTTGAACGATTAACATTTTGGACATATAAATATAAAAAAGTCAAGTCATAAAATTGCAGTTAGGCTACTCTGGCTCTAGCGGCGCCATGTTATGTAGTTTATAGTTTTTAGTGTGTTCTTACTTCAGGTCCAATGTGTATAGCTAGCATTAGATCGTATTCTTGTGGTCCTATGCTTATTTGGGCCATTCCATCACTGCCAACAGTTACAGATTTGCCTCGACACGAATTATTTACTTTATCTCCTGATATCACATCGCAATATGTCCCCTTTGGGAGTCCAGTCTAAAATATTTAATAAAAATCGTTACTCGCCAGGCTAGGATGCGCGAGTGTAAACAAACAATGTAATTTAATCGTCGGGCCAAAATAGTAAGACAATAAGTCGTGGTCGTTCCCCATTGGGTCAAAAACCTTTCTAATCAATTTATAATTTTTCTATAACATGTTTGACTTCGTCCTGAAATCTGGATATTAATTGAAGAATATCACAATTGCGTCCTGGTGGCGAACCACGAAGCCGTGGAATCTAGTCTGTTGATTTCTGAGCATTCAAAGCAAAAATCGGTCGTTAGCGCTTATTGTTTATATGTTATATTATATAGGGTATTGTAACTTCCATCAAGTAGACTCCACGCTTATTTATCTCCTCTTTCTAAATAAAATCTTTTATAGATATCTCTAAATTAATTGTATTATGTGTAAGTCTGAATGTTGTTTTATAGATAAGACATTTTCTCAAAAAGGATGTTACTATGTTAGCAATAATATATTTAACACACAACTTTGCCAAAGTCAAGCTAGAAGACTAGAGATACCTTTGTAAACACAAATCACCTGCAAATTTTGACTGAGACTCCATCCATCATTATTAAAGGCGATAAAGGCTCTGTCTCCGCGACTGAAAGCGATCTGACTGCTACCATTATCCCACCAGTTGTTCAATTCAGTGTTGCCAGCGGCGTTCCTAAAGCCAACCATCGCATGGATCTGACGCCAGCGATGTTGGCACACCCAACCGTTACCACATGTACCATCCTTAAAAAAGCATTTAGTAATATGCGAATATATTAGATAAACTTACTTGTAGATTATTTTAGTGTTCAAAATTCGTATAGGGAGTTATTTAGTAAATATATTCGTTTTTAGAGTGTTGGATGGTATACGGCGGAGTCTAGGATGCTACTGTTGTGATGATAGGACGTTTTAGTGTAATAATAGTTTTAAAATATTGATGTCTGATAATATCGAAGGTCAACACAATCTAGTGAAGTTAATAACGAATTTTAAAAAATATTTAAACTACGGCCCGACGGAACAGATTGCGCTAGCGTTTTTTCTTTGACATTGGAAACACCTTCCATCTTCAGTCTCCTAGTCACCGCGGCTGTTGCGATGCATCCCAAACGTCCGGCCGTAGTTAAAATCAATTTCAAAAGTTTAACTAATATATTTTGGCGTTTTAAACCCTTAACGTGTTTTATTTAAGTGTGCTACTCGCTCTAAACATATTAAGTTTTAAGAACTTACAGAATTTATCGCTGGTGAAATGATATTCCCATATCTATCCATCGGAGGCCCCACTTCGGAGTCTTGGAAGTTGAAACTACTCATAATCTGTGGCTCTCCGTAAGGATGGGCTAGTAAAAACGCAATCGCTGCTTTGTAAGGCTTAGGTTGCTTGTACATTAGAACACCACCACCACCACCGTGACCTCTTTCGTTATCATGGTTTTCTATAAACGTTAAAGCGTCGCCGTTCGCCAGCAGTCCCCAGCTTGGTCCCCAACTGTGGAACCATCTCAGTTGGTTAGAACCACGGAACGCGTTGCTCAATTCCATGCCCGCCTTAAATTCAGTCACAGCGCCGATGGGGGTATATTCGTTTCTGCTGATCGCCTCACCTCCGTAATCGATTACCTCCTGGTAAATATAAGGTCGAGCATTTTGTGGGAAACCGTGAGCTGTGCTCAAATTGTTCAGTCGATCGTAAATAATACGTAGATCCTCTGGCCACATGTGTTTTGCTGCGTCAATTCTAAAAATTTGAATGCCTTAAGTTTTGTTAGTCAGGATCGTTATTGGCTCTGAAATAACAGAACCCTTTTTTTCCTTTTTTTTCTGGTTTCCCTTCAAAACGTATAGATCTTTCGCCTTTTAAATAACAGAACCCTATCTTAAATAAAACAAAAATTAACCGTTTTTTCATTGTTTAAAATAAAGAAGAATGTTAGGTATATAGGTGCCAATTGCTAACTATTTTATATATATATTTTTTCAGAGTAGATAAGGTAAGAGTAACTAATTTGAAAATACCATGACGAGTTCCTACGTCAAAGATTGCAATATAGGCAACATTGCATGATGTTGTACGGGGAATCCCCTTTGCTAGTTTAGCTTAGCTTTAGTGTTCTGTAATGAATGCTAAGATAATACTTACCTAAATCCTGCAACACCCAAATCTATCAGCTTATTCATGAAGTTGACTATCATTTGCCTAACGTGTTCGTCAGATTGATTTAAATCCTTCAAACCAACTAGTTCACAATTACGGACCTGCATAATTAAATGTATTATGATGACGTTGGTCAACTTGGTCTGGACCGTCATGTTAGGAAACTTGACTGTATATCATGAGGTCCAGGGTTTAAATTTCGGGATGGGAAAAATGTTACTTCGGTGTTTGAAATTGTTCTAAGAGAATGACTCACAACACCATCCAGAAGATCGAAAGTAGATGGGTTAATTCCAACGCCTTGTAGCGCACAAATTTTGCGATAAATTAAACCTGAGGGGGGGGGGGGGCACGGGGACGCTTTTGAGGGCCTAAACTAATTAATTCTCGCTCTTAAAGGGACCTTTAAGAGTGAGGACCTTTGGCCAGCGGTTAGTCATTAATACTGTAAAACGTATATGTTGATAGGTAACAAGGCAAAATATTTCTTACTCTCCAAGCGTTTGTATTATAATCCGATCCTTCAATACCACAAGGAGGCCAGTTGAAGTGTTCCCTCCTGTAGGGGACAGCAGGGTAATACCATTCCCCAAATACAGCAGTGTTGCCACCTGTACCAACATTTTCTGCAGGCTCTCCTGTCATGTGATTAATTACTGCATCTACGTATATTCTAAAATCAATTAGAAGTTTACGCCAAAAGTATTATGGGTTCGAAGGCTTAGAAATAGTTAATTCTAGAAGTTAATTCGAAGTATATTTTGCGATTAATTCAGACTTGAGTATATCGTAGTTACGCTGATGTTGTTATTTGAATTTAATTATTTCATACTATTACAAAATAATTAAATTCGCTTAGTAGGACAGGCAAGCATGCGGTACACTTGATAGAAGGTGGAATACCCCAGCCATATTTTTAGTATTTTTTTTTATATCGTTTTAAATGTTCGGAAATCCACAGATTAAACCGAAACGCGATTAACGATTTACCAACGAGATCATGGAATTATCCGTGGACGGTGTTTCATGACTCGAGAGGATTCCGTTATTTTTACCGACAATTTAATCCCAGATTTCCAGAGGAAGTTCAACATGTTTCAAACAGAATTATAAATTGATTAGAAATATGTTGAACCTGATGGGGATGATCCCAAAAACCCGTTCATTATTAGCTATACATACAAATTAACCTACCGTACGCCAGCATTGTTACATCGCCTCACCATGTCCGCGAACTGGCTTTCGTCTCCAGAACGAGTAACAAGCACATACGACATTGGCTGGTAACGCTCCCACCATGGCCGATTGTTCGCCCATATCACAACATTCTCGTTCGGTGGTGATATCTGTCAAGAATTCCAAAGTAGCCACTTTGATGCATTATTAATTATAGTCGAATGGATCATCATATAGATATACGATCACGATTCGAACGGTTTTGTTCTGTGGTGACTAGTAAAATAGGTATATTTAAATTCTCTTAGTTCTCCTGACTGAGTTAAAAAAAGGGAATATACTTTTAATTAAAAGTCGATTTTCGTCATTTTATCATCTTTTATGTAATCGGGTGATCTTAAAATAATTCGAGCAATAGCTGCCATTTCATGACTAGACTTATTTATATTTTTTTAGACTAAAAATGTTATCTACAAGAGTACAGTAATCGAAAATTGTTAACATAATTCTTACAATAGTACAAATTCATGTTCGTCAAATTGTGCGTTTTTATCTTCCTCCTTATTGAAAATTTGACCGCCTCTGTAGCCAAATGCTTAAACGTATTTCGTTTAAGTCCTGGGTTCGAATCACAGAGAAGCAAAAAATTGTTTCGGTCGGGCAGGGCACAGATGAACTGAACTGAACTGGGAAGTCTGATCAACTACTTACCTATATAATTTAAAAATCGAAAATAAATTAAAAAAAATTTTCGACTCGGGCAGGACTTGAACCGGCATCGTCAGCGTTCCGTGCTGTTGGTCTGAGCAACTTTTTTTAATTATATAGTGCCTTCATATGCAATAACATGTAAAAATTAATAAAGTTTGCAAACTACTTGCCTGTTAAAAAACGGATCAGTGAAACGAACACAAAAATGTGTTTGCCCCATGCCTCACGAGTGGGAAACGGGCTTTCACTTACTTACTTATTGAAAATCACTTTTTTTTAGGCCACTCTGTCTCTAGCAGCCTCATAATATATATTGGATTTATAAAAACAACTGACAATCGAAGACCAGAAGTCTGCAAACACTTACTTGAATACCTCCGTATCCTTTTGGTCCCAAAAATCTTTCGCATTCTAAAGCTATGTCATCCCATTTCCATTCAAATAAATGTACCATCACCGACCTTCCATCTGCATAATACGGATTTTTGTAAGCACTGATTGCAACAAGCAAAGTTGCAAAAGTTGTTACTGTGGCTATAGTTGCCTATAACAAAATCTGTTACTGTTAAAATGTTCTAGGTGGCATACCTACTATTCAAAAAGGAAATAAGGTTTTAGTCACTTTGAGAAAGTCCTAGTACCTACTTATGTACTTACCATATTGTTTCACCACCCCAACAACAATAACATGTTAAGTTGTTTTTTAGTGATAATTAAATTATCGATCAAGTTACGAAAACATTATCTGATTGTTTATCATTTTGATAGTGGAAAATATTGAGTAGAAGGAATTATTGCATGAATTTACTAATTTTGTAGTATATTCTATATTATGATTACTACGTTTTGATATTTTTAATATAATAACTTGTTAGCCTAAAATATAATATGGTAAAATTGTGTTTAATCGTTATCAATAAGCATCGTAAAGTTTACAAAAGAAAAAACGTAATTGGAGTCAATAAAAATCATATTTAAATGATTACGCAAAGAATTGAACCCAGGCCTACTTTTGTCATAATACATTATGAGCCACTGAGCTATATGATAAGTATAATGATCAATGGTGTAAGTCAGCGGCATATACCTATTACTTTTTACGACTACAATATTGTAAAAAATTCCAGAATCCAGAAGAATAGTATCCTCGTAACGTAAAATCGCCAATGTTGGCTAGTGCATTCGTAAATTCATATTGTCTATGACTCTAATTTCTATACTCTATACTTTATAATATTGCCAGAAAATAGTTTCTGTGCCTTTTAAGGTAATATTTGCGTTGAACTAAACATTTTTTTTAACAGTTCACTTGGATTTCATTACTTTAATCTTACAAACTTTCATTTTAAAATATCTTTAATAAATATATGTTAAATATACAGATGCGTCTTAATGACATTGAAGGAATTATTTAATCAGACAGCGTATCTGAATCTTGTATTATCTATATTTATCTTACCGCTTAGATGAAATTTGTAGAGTGTTATCTGGCAATACAGACATTCTTGGAATTTATCACACTTCCTTCAAACTCTACGAAGAATAAAGTTACAAGCTTGTTTAGTATATTAACATAAGTGCTCGTGTATTTGTAAGATTTTGAGTCCTTGTCTGAACGACACGAAATATCTTAATATATCAAAACAACGCATTATATATTTTAATTAACTAAAGGATATATGGTTTGAGTCGCAATTAAAAAGTTACAAACTCCACAATGTCGTTAAAGTTTTATGTTATTTTTTCGTTTTTATGTGTAATACCGATAGTTTATGCTTGTAATGAAGCTATTTGTGCAAGTGTTGTGTCCAAGTGTATGTTAACACAATCGTGTAAATGTGATTTGAAGGATTGCACTTGTTGCAAAGAATGCTTTAACTGTCTCAGTTACTTGTATAGTGAATGTTGCAGTTGTGTTGGTAAGTTGATGGACACTTCTTTACAAGAACATCTAGATTAAAAAACAAATGTCTTTCAACCATTTTACAGTTGACATACTTAATATATATAATTTATTAAGATCAAAACTCTTTTCATAAATACACCCTTAAACAACTCTTGTAAAAGTTAATTTCCTAATCACCTTTATTAAGTAGTTAAAATTAAGACTTCTATATACAAATTTATTTTAATGTCCAACTTTATTATTTTTTTAAATTACAAATAATATAAATATATTTAAATACTAAATTTCTTACTATAAATATTTATCAATCAAGTAATATAAGTGCCTTTCAGAAATATAGTTAAGTAGTAGAAGTTTATGTAGGAATAGTTACATAAACCTTAAATAACTTTCTTGTTGTTTGTGTTGTATTTTTTTATAATAAATATACTTCAATATTAAAAATAAATTTCTTTCAGATATGTGTCCAAAACCCAATGACACTGCAACGGAGCTATCCAAGTCGTCATATGTTGAAGAATTACCGGACAATGTGCCCGGTTTATTTGCAGCACTTACTGGTGATGCTGATCCTCAGCAAAGGTGGCTCTCTATAACCTATCCTGTTGATATAGACATATCAGCATATCGGCCTGCGTCTGAAAGACAGTTAGTGTATCATCTACGTAAGTATTTATGTGTTGTACTATCTTCCTAAGAATAAATTTTGATGATAATAATTTTCTATATTTAATAATCAATTTTCTGCAATTGTTTTGAGAACATAAAATTTGTACCCAGTCATATCTTTTCTGCAAATATTTTGTATCTTTTCATATCCCCCAACCTTAAAAGAGAATCATGAATATTCATATAGACAGTGTTAAAAATTATTCAAGTTTGATTTATGTTAGCCATATCAGATTACTAACTATTACTTGTTTGAACTATAATCTATCTTTATAGACCTGTTTATCAATTCTCAGAAAACACCCACTGAGAGATAGAATTGCCTTTGATGAGTCATCAAAGTAAGGAATGTTTTAGCTACCTGCTTTAAAGGATGTGCTTTACAAAAAGTTTCTCATCCCATTGAGTTATTGAATGTTATCTCAATCATTAACTGTAAAATATTACAGTTAATGCCACTTTTTTACAATGAAATTATTGTTCACTGTTAAAAATGTTTTAAGAGATTAAGAACAATGTTGCAAACAGTTGTAGACAAAATGTGTGACATCCTGTTTCCACTAATTGGGACATGGGGTAGAAATTTTTATGTGTCTGTTTCACTTATTGATTTTTATTAATAAGCAGATAAAACTTACCCTGTCTAAACAAAACAATTTATTCTGTTTCATCAGAAATTTAACCTAGGCCTTCTAACAATTCTGTATGTAATAACCATTTAGTACTATTGGTTCTTAACTAATAAATAAAACTTTTATGTGAATGAAAAATTTATTGTATTTTTCACATATGTAATTGTATAAATTTTCTGTTATTTACAGAGAGCGTGGAACAAGAATCGGAGCCAGTGAGTCGGGATATAGTTACATTTAACTGTACCGTAGCTTATATGTCACAGTGTATGTCGTGTGACAAGTGTAGAGCATCATGCAGATCAATGGGATCCAATAGTTTCAGGTACACACACAAATCAGTTCTATGTTAAGTCCATTGTTTGAGCACCTCCTTACCTGCTTGGACCATTAGTGGACATATATTTTGTTCGCTCTCAATGCCTGTATATTATATGTTGAGAACAGTCTGATCGACTTGCCTGTCATGCAGATGTTGCATGCCCCATTTAGGGCCACATGATTTCACTTTTTAATATAAATTACTATGTTCATATGTCTTAGATATATAACAGTTAAAGAACATTTTTAAAGATGACAATATATTTTTAATGAGTATTATATTATACTTTCCTTACTACTACGTCTAAATGTCGAACTTGGTTTGGAAACCTGGCTATTAAATTGGTGGTAAGAATGTCACGAACCACCGTCCGTTCATAGCCCAAAATAAGTTGACTTGTCGACAAATTATACTTCACCTTCCATCAAGGTAACTTAGGAAGGGAAGGAAGCTTGTCTGTCCTTGTTTAGCCTAAAACTGAAGTTATTCTCTTGCATTTCAGATGGTTCCACGACGGATGTTGCGAGTGCGTGGGCGATAAATGTTTATATTACGGGATCAACGAGAGCAGGTACGGTTTCACAATTCGCGGTATTGTAAATATCGCGGACGTAAATAGCGTGCGAAGTTATGTTTATGTATATAGTGTATTCCCGAGGTTGTACGTAATCTTGATAATAATTAGATCCTTAGAAAGATTATATAAACCTCCCATCTATATTAAAAACTTATTTTTTATATACATGAAAGGTTTTAGCTTATTTTTATGACCTGGACGTTACGGATGCTTTGCACCTTAGTAAAGTATTGTGTATAGGTAACGCAAGAAATACCTCTACAAAAAAATGGTTAAAACGCGTAGTATATCAGGTAACTTATTTTTAATTACGAGACATAGTTTTGGATCTTTGCAGCTGTCGTGGACCCGGGAAGAAAACCCGTTTTAAACCGTTTAAATGAAATTTTGCAATTTGACAACTGGCGGCACTCTGTATAGCATACAGGATAGTACAGCTGTTTATCATTATTAGCAAATGTTCGAGCAAAGACGATGATTCCTAATGTTTATCACCATATTATGGAAAACAAAACAGACACCTGGCCACAAGGACGCAACGTCATACATTTACATACATTTGCGTTCGAATGCGAAGATATCATATGTCATGCGCAGGTGTTGCGATTTTCATGAATTATCAAATTACGACTATGTCTTTTCTAACAAAGAAACTCAGACTGACCTCAGTCAGTAAATATCATATGAATAGGAATGTCGAAATAAACCATCGTTCACAGATGAAATAGGCGTGCTGTGCAATCGCTTGAACCTAAAATAAGTCAACAGTGCATATAAAAATAAGTTAATTAATATATTTTGCGTTTTTTATTACATCATTTTTTCATCACACACTCAAAAATACAGTAACATAATAACAAAATAGGTATATGTGGAGGAACACCGTTCAGCTTTAGTTCCTGGAAGTAGGCACAACGCCGATTTTCAAAGATGCCCCACGCTTTTTTGACAATTGAAGTAGAACGATACATAAACCAAAATATAACATACTAGCTGTGCCCGCGCGTCATCGTCCGCGTGGATAAGTGACTTGGGGTAGAATTTTGAATTATTTAGGCTGTTTATTGATTTATGTAAGTGCGCATTTAAGGCAGCCAATCTATATTGTAAGTGCACATCACTCCTACTCTAACTCCCACTTTCATTCCTACACTCACGCTCACTCCCACGCCCATTCCCAAAAAGCAAAAGAAGAAAGTTTCATTGTTCTAGCTTCAAAAACCACGAATTTCTATACAAACTTTCATCCCATTTTTCAATCAATTTTTTTTGGCAGTAAAACGCCTATGTCCTTTCTCAGGCTCTAAAATATCTGTTTACCAAATTTCATTTAAATCAGTTCAGTAGTTTTGGAGTTAAAGCCGGACAGACAGACAGAGTTTTCGCATTTATAATATTAAGTATAGATTATTTTTACATCAAAACAATTAAACAAGAATCATTAACAAGAAAACCACAAAAATACATTATTGTTATATAGTTTTACATATACGCAACTGAAGCGGCCTCTGAAATTCGCCCGCTAGAAACTTTGCCCTTAATTTAAAAGTATCTCATGAAGAATCGTTAAGTGTTTTATTTAAATTTATTCTTCCTTTTTTTCTAGATGCCTCGCGTGTCCCGGGGGGAAGGAGACGCCCGAAGTTGATGACGATTTAACGTACGACGATTTCGATTATGGTGAAGAAGTGGACGCACAATCAGTTTGAATTTCTTAATGAAGTAAGGAAACCCTAATACGTTGGTAATTTTGATTGCATTAATTCAAAATCCTATTGCTTTAGCTGTACTCAGATGTTTTATGATATTTTTCATTGTAATGAGATATAGGGAGTATAAAAGGTCAATTTAAGGTCACAAGCAGGAAGAAAAGTGTTTTATAAAAGTTGAATCCGTTTATAATGACATCTAAAGGAATTGTCAAATACGTCATAATAAGCGGACGTCATACAACATTGTAAAAACAGTCTCCGATATTATTGTGTATAGAAGCCATCGCTATGGTCAAATGATCATTTTTAATAGTGTAATGAACAAATTGTGATAATAATTCTGCAACTTTTAATGCCTTTTCTACGGTATGTAATCGTTCTTTCTCGACTTCTTCTTCGAACCGAATGTCGTAGGGAATCAACGAACATTACCGAGTACCCGGAGGTGTATAATATAATCATGTCGGTCGTTATAACCGTACATAATTAATTGAAAATGGGTCATAATAAGCGACATGTTATTGTAAGGGAAGTAGCTCTTCTAGCTCCCACCCGCATTGCGGCGGTCCAAGCCGAGGCCGATGCCCCCCTCGGGGCACCCTTGGTCTAGCCGCAAACACGGCGAGCGCTATCGCGCTCGCCCAAAACGCCCGGTTAGTATTCGTGGCTCCTTAGGAACACAATACGAAAGAGTCCAATCAAAAAAAAAAAAAAAGTAAGGGAAGTCATTAATTATATCCGACTTTTTTTTAAAGAGTTTTATATGAAAACCAAACATCGTAGCGTAGCGACGTCATAATAAACCGCTGGTCAATATAAGCGGAGTCATAATAAACGGATTCAACTGTATGTCAAAAGAGTTAACTATAGTTGATAACAATGCATAGTCAAGGATTACAACGACTACTAATACATTTATGAAGACTTCTTGTAGTCTATCACACAGTCAATTTCGGTTAAAAGTTAAGCCTGAAAATTAAATAGGTGGTACGAATATTGAAACTTCGTTCCGGTCACGAACCACCGTCCAGCCGCGAGCGAAGTTTATTCACGTTTCGGTTTCAGGCCGTGGATTTCCGAATAAAGAGCCAAAATAGATCGACCGCGCATCTTGTTTAGATGCTATAGGCTGCGGTATTACACCTAGCATCAAGTGAACCCAAGCTTGCCTGTCTTTTTTTTTAATAGAGGGGCTATTATAAAAAAAGTCAATTAAGAAGTTGTAGCTTCAACAGCATGGAAAATTGTTAAGTCAATTTGCGTATCTTTCGAACAAACAACAACTGTGTAGGGCATATATTTGTTCAATTCTTATATACATATAAAACAAGGCATAGTCAATATATTGTTATATAACAAACGCCGAGATATATATATTTTTAAATATACAAACTTCGTGCCTATAATAAATGGTATATAGTAATCTTACTTCTAATGACAGTTTGACTTTTGATGTTGCCGACTTTGTTACGAAGCAACAAAACATTGTATGCTTATGAGATGTGATTATAAATAAATCCGTTTTTATTTCATAAAGTCTCATACCAGTCCTTAGAATAAGTTGTAACTAAGTTAGATTTTTAAGCAGTAATTTAGAGCAAAATGTGGAACTTGCAGCAAGGATTCAAGACTGAGAATCTCACTCAGAATCGGAAAATTTACTTTGTTACACTACATTTGTATTGAATAGTGTATTAAAACATTAAACTAAAACATACATTCATGTAGAAAAATTATACAGTGCTCTCCAAACTTTTTAGCCGGGCTGAAGTTAGCGCAGAACGCAAAAAGCAGGTATCAGTTGAGAGAAAAGGGGTGCAGAGGGGGAATCTACTTTTTGCTTAAAATTTACAGTACCATGTGCAAGATAGCGGTCACGCTTCAGCTCGGCCAAAAGGTGGGGATCATTAAATAAAACACTTATAACGGTTTTAACGCGCAACATCTTAACTTGTTTTGGATTTATTTTAACTTCGCCCAAACATTTCGTATTCGTTCACAAATATATTTCGTGTTTAAAACCCTTAAATTTTATTTATCTATTATATCTGTAGTAGAAAATTTAACTAGCTTTTATAGTTCCTTGAGTATTGTTTCTAGTTCACACGAGTAGTATATTTGAATAAAACACTGAACGGTTAAAATCACGAAATATATTAGCGAATCCGAAACGTCGGGCCGTAGTTTAAAAAATCCAAGTTTAATCTAATGCACATCTTTATTTAAATATTATGGTTCGCGTTTCAAACTGTTGAAAGGAGTCTTATTAAACGTTTTATTCAAAAACTACGTGTAAAGACTAACTGTAACTGTTTGTAACTTCAATTTAATTAAGAACACCACATGAGAATTTAATAAATAATGCTTTAAAAATTTTATAGAACTTCCGTCCTCGATGATTTTAGCTTTAAGTTTTAGTATGTAAACTATAAGAAAGTATATTTTTAAATTGTATTCAAAAATATACACAAATTCCGTAATATCTGTAAGATTCATTTTAACAATTACTTAATACTTCATACTGACTTTTTTACATTCTCTATGAATTTTTTAAATTCAATTTCTTTATACATTTTCGTTGTATCTTGGCGAAGTAAAGATTACTCGCGCGCCTCTAGCGATAATTTGAGAAGCTGTCTAAGAACGACGGTCCTTTAGATTTAATTTTACGTATAATCAGATCATTGCGTAATAAGCTATGATTGATAAAAGTTGATGCGATTTTCAATGTAGGATTTACGAAGATTCAAAATAGGTTTTCATTTGTTTCGTCTTTAAGGATAGGTAGATTCTTGTAAAAGAGATAATGTTTATTGCTCTAGATACTAAGACATGAATAGTTAGAAAAACTATTATGAATTGAAAAAAAAAACATTAACTATTGATCAATGACTGTCTTGGTGGGCAATAAAATACATAAATGTTATTTATATTTAATTAATAAATGTAAAAAGGTACAGTGTCGCTCTTAGACAGTTTCACAATTTTGACGCTAGAGGTCTTTGCCTCGCTAGTAAAGGCTACGGTCTAGATATAACGAAATTGTTTTATCACAAATGTACGTTATCTATTTGAAGCTACAGTTCATAATTAATTATCTAATATAAAAATTGATTTTAATTGTGATAAATTTCAACCCAATTTAATATTGGCCTAATTCTGTAATCTGTTTCACAATGGCCAATTCGAATGATAAATATTAAACAATACACAACGGTTTGAAACGCGTACTAAATCAATAAATAGCGTTGATTAATGAACTAACAGACAGCCATGCTGTTTTAAAACGAATAGGAAATTTCCTTGAATAATATAGTTCGCGTTTTAAACCGTTTAACTTTACTTTGTGAGAAATTACTTTAAGTCAGATAACATATCTTGTAGAATAGAACCACTTTTAAACCGTCTAATTTGTATTAAATCTTCTGTGTTGCTATGTTTAAAAAACTCAATTAGTCGAATTCTTAATATGTATATCTCTAAGTGCCAAACATTACTTGTACAAATTGTTGCCATTATTTCAAACACAATGATATAATGTAATTTTAATTGCCATATTTAATCCCAAGTGCCTTTTAATTTATATGTTTAGTAGATATGTTTTTTTAATATATTTTGTATTATTTGAACTTGAAATAAATTTTTATATTGAAGCTGACTTTTTGCTCGGGTAGTTTTTTTCGCGTGACGTTCAAACCTGTCGTTCTTGTTAATTATTTAAACACACCAAAAAACCATGGAAGGTCACCTGCTATGAACGCTAGAGAATTATGTTTTTGTGATATGCAATTATTTGAGAATTGTCGTAAAAATTCGTCTTCGTAATGGCGTTTTTATTAAATCTGTACTAATATATAAACCTGAAGAATTCGTTTGTTTGTTTGAACGCGCAAATCCCAGGAACTACTGATCCGAATTAAAAAATATTTTAATCTTGGTTAGAGAAATTAATCGGGGAAAGTTATAGGCTGTAAAACATCGCACTCTGAGCAATAGGCCCGAAGAAACTTCGGGAAATGTGGAAAAAACGGGGAAAATTGTCGTTGCTAGTTCTCGATGCGTATGCTGCGAAAACGGTTCAAGATACCCAACAAAATATGTCCGAAAGAACGATTCCTCTGAACATGATCTGAAAAATCTATATTTCTACTAGCTGACCCGGCAAACGTTTTGCCATATAAATAATGTCGAAAAATTACTAAAATGGATATTAAAAAATAAGGGTTGATCGTAGAAGGGTGAAAATTGAGGATTGTATGTATTTTTGTATGTTGTATCATAAAAAAATAGAAATTAAACATTTTTTCAAAAAAGAAATAGGGGTGGACTAGCCCTAACATTTAGGGGATGAAAAATAGATGTTGGCCGATTCTCATAGATACCGGATAAGCACAAAAAATTTCATCAAAATCGATCAAGCCGTTTCGGTGGAGTATGGCAACGAAAACTGTAACACGAGAATTTTATATATTACATCTTTTAAGAATTACTTGCTAGAACGACAGGACTAATTCACGCGGACGAAGTCGCTGGCCACAGCTGGTACGAAATAAATGATTTGAGTCTATTCGGCTATTAAAGTACGTATATATATTTTTAAAATTAAAATCAAATTAGTGTCTTGTGTTATCGTTTATCTTTAGGATAAGAGATACTGAATTTTAAACTATTTTCACCTTCAGAACCGTAATTTAACTTATCGATAAGATTAAATCTCATTCTAATACCATAATCAGGTATCACTAAGGTGATAAGTGTTATTTACTTGCACACGTGTGGTTGATGTCCAATTGTGTGTATTTCAAAAACTGAAACATTTTTCAACTGAGGAATTACGGAAATAACTAAATTTATAAAACCAAGGTTAACTGCTTTAATTTTGCTTAACGTCGAGAGGATAGCGTTGTAAACTTGTGTAGTAGGCTTACTTTTATAGAAAGACCCAGTCCCAGGTGTGGGATGATCACCATTATCAACGGCTGTACAGACTTGCGAGC